CCAATCTAATTCCCACATCTTCTCATCGTCTGTCTTTTCTCTCTACTGCATCTATAAATTAAAGTGGCAGAGAGGCCATAAGGCCACTGAACACCGGCAGTGTTGTTTCCAGAAGCATTTTTTCGATTTATTTCTCCCATAGGTCTTTGTTAAAGCGTTATAGGACATGAACCAAGCCAATTAGTTATGAGGTGAATCATAACATCACAAACTTTAATTGGAAGCAAGAAAGTATTTTAAAATCGGACCAAAAATACAAGACTGTGTAGTAGGTGAGTAGTTGGGAGTTGGTGGAGCTAAAGAGCTCATAGGCATGTTTTGCTTTTTGTGACGCTGTGATTGGTGGTATTTTCTGTACAGCATCATGGGTAATGTAGTTTTTCACCACAAATTCTTCTGTCAAGCAAGATTATTTAAAAAGAATAAGTTAAATTAAAATAATGCAAACAGAAGCAAATGTGCATGCTGGCAAAATCAGAATGGGCACATGGGCTGATTACGAGCTACAGGCCAAACAAGTGAAAAATGTCAAATTTGGTCGAATTTTAGGTTTTCACAAAAATTAGTTCATTAAGCCCTCGTGTAGTGATCCCAATGCTCCAAATAGCAATTAAGCATCTAAAAGTATCTATATTTGAAGAGTTCAGATGCAAAAGCCTTTAAGTGCCATTTGAAATTTTCTTCTAGAATGATAATTTTTATCAAGCTTGTATATTTAAGTTCAGTAATTTCACTTAAATGGCAATGAAGATTACCTATTAATTGTCATTTAAGTAAAATTACTGAACTTAAATATACAAGCTTGATAAAAATTATCATTCTAGAAGAAAATTTCAAATGGCACTTAGAGGCTTTTGCATCTGAACTCTTCATTTGTATGTTTTCTGAGAGGTGTACCTTCCTAAATCATTAATAATTGCACTACTCTCTTCTCTCAGCATTCCAACTTTGTGAATATTCATAGCGAATTCTATATGGCATGAGTCTGAACCAATGAAATGTGATTTTCAAATCAAAGCTGATATAAAAAAAAAATAGCTTGTTGCTAATGGTATGGTATCATGGAAGCATCCATCCTCTGAAAACACGAAAAGTAATTTTCAAGCTTTTATTTTAATTTTTCATCAATATATCCCTGTTTTGTAATGGATATGGATGATAGTGAGAGTACTCAATAGATGGCTAATGCTTTAAATGCACTGCTTTCTGAGAATCTTGTCAGAGCAATTGACATGCAACATTTTGCTCAACTTAATGACTACTTCAGTGATAATGTGCCACCACCAAAACAAGATGATTGTGGACATTAATGTGGGAAATCTTGAACAATGGTTGGGCATGGACACAATATGAAACTGTCACGACTGTATTAAAATGAACCTTGCTAGCTGTGCTTCTAAGGAAAAACACCCAGGATGTCCAAACAAGTGATTAGAAACCACCTAGAACACATTAGACTTGTATCAGCAAGTTTTTGCACTGGCAAACATCTCTCACATCTTAAGAAAATGTAAAAAAAAAAAAAAAGAGTTTGAAAAAATGTAACGCCTTCAACAGCCATGCAGAAAGGTAAGATGCTAAGTATGATTATATGATCATTTATTATAGTATATTGCCTTAACTGTATGTCACTGTCAGCTATGACCAAGCGATTGGAAGTGCTGGAGAACCAGTTGCTCACAAGAAAATGAAAGAGCACGTCACACAACCGTCTGGAGGAGGAAGGGGCCCGCTGGGGGTCAAGGGCCCTACAATCAAAAGATCTACAGGTGTAGATGTCTGAGGCATGAGGCCAAATCATTCTGCTGCCATGTTTGGACATGGCTAATGTTGTTCCCTATTTATACATGATCTGTATTGTATGGTTTATAGAGAGGTATGTATTTATGGCAAATTTGATATTAGCATTTATACACTAAAAAGGGAAATTAAGTTTTTGGTACCACTCTGAGATATTGTCATCATTATCATGTTTGCATCTGTTTTTTATCGGCACCAAATTTGTGTGGATCTATAAAACCTTCCGTTTATGCACATGTATATTACAAAAAACAACAACAATTAGTTACAAATGACACTCTTAGAATCATTAGTTTTCAGACAAAATACTGATACCAAAAGAGAGAGACACAATAAGCCAAATGAAGCACTCACTCCATTTTACCAAAGCTGTTTCCCATCAATGTTGTGTCAGAGGAACATGTCTGATATTTGTTAATTGTTTAACTGGACTGCAAACAGATTTTTGACTCAAGAATGGCCTGAATGGTTTGTTAACACTAAAATGAGATTTATGTAAACAGGGTAGTGTGTACAAGTGCCCCTTAAGATTGCAGTTTTTTTTAATATTATTGTTCTTATTGAAATGTAATTTACACATACAGAATCCAGTTAAGATACCTCAGAGTACTCTGGCCTCAGGTTTTTATGTTGCAAAAAGGCCCCATTATAAGGCTCTTATATGTGAATTCTTGTATGTTTTTGGATATTTCCTAATAACACTCTTTTTTAAAACAATTAAAGCGTGTGTGTATTTACTCTTTCACATTGGGAAATAAAAAAGGTATAAAGATGTCTTAGGAAAGAACAAGTTTCATAACTTATATATATATATAAATGTTAAATAATAACCTGGTTATATCGGGATATCAAAAGATGTCAAAAGTCTCAATAGAAGCAACCAAATCAAACCACTTTCACAAATACATTTTGAAACTTCACAAACACAGCACCACTAGTCTTTTTTCAGAAATATTTTTCTTGTAAAGTAAACTTGTGTTATCTATCTTTAAAATAAATGTCACTTGTTTTGACATGTTATGTAGCATTAAAGTGTTTTTAAGGGTGGATTCATTGTCACAATGTTTTATAGGACACTATTAAATAGGATAAAGTTTATTATTACTAGATATGACATGCATCCTCAATTTTTTCAGACTTCCTGATTGATGAACATTTACATCAGAGCCTTAGCATTAACATCTCAAAACAGGATCTCTCTTGATGCCAACAGACCTTTAAACATCTAAAACAATCTCTGTTATTATGTTCCATGATCTTTTCTGCATCTCCCTATAGACGTGTTAATCACTCCCAGGAATACAAGCTTCAGAACAACAAGTGTTCCTGACTGCTCTGACCTTCTGCCTGCGGATCTCAAGGGCGTGAGACGCTCGAGTCTCTCCTGCCATCGCTCTGGCTCAGACTAGACTCGGTGGAGGTTGTGAAATGTCAGAGATTCCCGCTAGTCTCAGTGGAAGCGTTAATTACCCCAAACACACTGCAGCTCAGACGCTGAAAGGACAAATGTCTTGTTATCCCAACAATGCTCCCTTCTGTGAATGATTGGCTGTTTTAGGAACACAAACACATGCTGAGGGAAAGGTCACAGGTTTCCAGAAAGGCTCGAGTTAATTGTTTGTTTTTTAACAGCCGTGTGATATGAAGATGATGTGAAGACACGATGATGCAACTTTACAGCCTCATTGGGATATTCACTAATATGTATTTAACTGATGATAAGACTATATCACAATCATGGATTTGGCTAAACCTGTCAAAGCCAAAAACAAAATAAATCCAATGATATTTCATATTATCATTTATATCATTAAAATTTGCATTTCTTTGAAGGCAAATAAGAAAATGCATAAAAAGACAAGACAAATAAGACCATGCATAATTAGCAGGGATGTTCTTTGTTGCATTCATTATTTATTTTAATTATGATTTATTTATTGTTTCAGTAGTGATAATAGATAGTTAGGTCTACTGGATAGATAGAGGTTACATTGATTTTAAGTTTAGGTGTTTTTATCTATAAAACTACAATAAAAGAAAGGTTCAAATGTCATGTTGGTCTGGATGTTACACTCTAAAAATGCTGGGTTTAAAAATGCATTTTTAGAGTGTAATATCACACCCTAAATTGATCAAAATGCATATTAAAGATTTGAGGAAATAAAGATCTTTAAGGTCTTTATCATGGTGCTTTCTTTGCCACATCAAATGTACTTTTTCTTTATTATTTTTCATATGGCCAAAGGATATTTGCAGCATATTGTGACAAAAGGAGCTTGATTATTAGGTTATCCATATACTCTTCGATTCTGATTCAATCTGTCAATCTGTATAGTGCAGTCACCATCAGCTCAGTGAGGCCTATTGGCTTTCAGTTTAATCAATATTTGCACAGACAGGCTGCAAACTCAAAAGTGCACTGAGATGAAAATGTGTTTGCATGCCGCATCACTATTAAACAAAATAAAACTTTAAAATGTGAAATATGATATTTAATGTTTGCATTTTGAAACCTTGATAAAGAGTGTGATCATTATTCTCTATAATTAGAGACTTATTGTCGCATTTTATTTTCAGTGTTGCTTGCAAACATTGGTCTTGAATATACAGCTACTTTTGAATGGCTGTCGGTGGAGAAAGATGTTTTTTTGTAGCACAATGGTGCAATCACAGAACTTGGAAGAAGAAAAAATGGGCAAAATTTGTACCTTTAGGGGTACAACAGCTTATCACTGGGACAGGAGGAGGACAACTTTGCACCTTATGCAGCCCTTAAAGGGGCATTTGAGTAATATTAAGATAATAAGGTACAAAGATGTCCTTTTAAAAGTACTCTCAAGCATTTTCAAGTCAAAAGTTTGTCCTGAGGTCATGCCATTTTGCTTTAAAATAATTATTTGCTTTAACTCTTCTGACGTCACATGAGGTTAGTCATGCGCAGAGACCATCCTCTATTACCAAGACGAGCATCACTTGATATAAAATGAGACTCCTTTTCGTCAGACTGCTTTATGACAGGCTGGGAAGTCTGCAGAGGTATTACAGTAAAAACATCTGAGCTTTATTTGACTTTTTGATCAATTTAATGTTAATTTGCTGATGCAATTGAATTTTATTTTGAGAAAAACATTGTTCTATAGACATTCTATATCTTGATGCACAATGTTTAACCTTTCGTGTTGTCTATTTTTTCCAGAAAGTTGTGTTATTAAAAGATGAATGTTTCACTGGTGGGTAACATCACCCAACCCAAGATTTTGCGGGACAGCTTTGGCACAGCGGTGGCTAAGAATGTGATAGTGGTTAGTTTGTGCATCTCCATCAACTACATCAACGGCACTCTCATCCACACCTTCATCAAGCACGAGATCTTCAACGGAAACCCTCGGTACATTCTCTTCATTCACATGGTGTTCAACGACATGATTCAGCTGATGATTTCAGTCCTTCTTCATGTGTTGAGCTACATTGTGTTTACCATCAATGTCTCTTTCTGCTGTGTTCTATTGATGAGCGCTATATTCACAACGCTCAACACACCGCTGAACCTGGCCGCCATGGCTATAGAGCGCTACATCGCTATCTGCAACCCTTTGCGTCATGCTCAGATCTGCACCGTACCTAAAACATACATCCTTATCGGCCTAATCTGGAGCCTGAATGCCATCCAGGCTCTACCAGACCTGTTCGTCCTGTTGGGTACACAACCGCGAAGCTTCTTCTACAGCAACATCTTCTGCTACAGAGATTATCTGTTCAATAACCCATATATGATAGAGAAGAGAAAATTTGTGTATATCATTTACCTGGCATTTGTTGGGCTGACTATAGTGTATACTTACATAAAGATCATGTTTGTTGCAAAGGCCACAAGCTTGGATGCCGGCAAAGCTCGAAGTACCATCATCCTACATGGGATCCAGCTTCTGATGTGCTTGCTAACGTTTGTCGGGCCCTTCCTGGACAATCTGCTGCCGGGAATGTTTCCTATGCATATTCTGGAGATGAGATTTTTTAATTATTTAGTCATCCAGATAATGCCCAGGTTTGTCAGTCCTATTGTGTATGGCTTGAGAGATCAAACATTTTGTAAGTACCTGAAAAGATACTTACTGTGTACAATGTTTGAGGTGAGGAGTACAATAAAAACTCCCCAACCCAAAAGGAATTTGGCGAAAGTTTCCGATAAATCCATATGAAGAATCACTAAATCGCAATATTGTAAAAAAAAGCAACATTTGTGAATTAATCTGATTTAGACATGTGTGGATGAAAATAATAAATATATACTGGTCTACATATGCAGTGATTACTGATTAAAGCATATAAAAAGCAAATGATAATTTGAGTGTATGCATGGCAGCTGTATGTGGCACTTTACAGACATAAAAATTGTCAATGGTAAAAGTCCCTTTATGAAAAAGAAAACACACATATAATACATGTCTAAATCTGCAGTGTTTCATCTATATAAATGTTTCATTCACGGTAACTGCCTTTCACAAAGCTCTTACTATAAAACTTTTTCTTTGCATCTCTTCTCGTTCAGTTGAATACATTTGTCTAATATTTAATGCATCTGAACTTAATGGTTAATCAATGAATCATTTGGTACAGATTTCTATAGATATTGATTCTATAGACAGTTTCTGTACAACTTGTTTACAATTTCCGATATGGATAACTAAATGTAATGAATTCTTTTTACATAAGTGATTTATAATAACCAGGAAACAGTCGATGACTGTGTAACATCAGATTGATCAAAGATGCATCAGGGGAGACAAATACATCAAATACAGCATTTTACATAACGGCATAGATATTCCACATTACTGTAACTCACACATATAATGTTCAGCTCCAGTATAGATTCAGTCATATGCCACAGTGTATTTACTGTATTGGCAGCAAACTCTGTTCTAGCACAAAACCTCATAGCAGTTTCATAACCTCATCACAACTTTTGATAGATACTATTACAAACATTATGGATTCAATTACATAAGTTAATGTAAGTGTATTTTCTAATGTGGCAACTGTAGCCTGTATTACTGTAATTATTTCAGTAATAATTAATTATTACTGAAATATTGATTTGAAAAAGGTGATTTGAAAAATGTATCTTGCATTGTTTGCTGTTGAATGAACTGATTGTTAAAAGTACTAAATTGAAAGAAGATCATACTGTTGTGTTTCCGTGATTAAACCAAAGTACCAAAGCGAATAAAAAACTGCAATAATCTGTAATTCTCTCATCACATATCAGATCACATAATGTTTTTTGTTTTTTTTCATTAATATGATCTGTAATGTTGGTTACACCAGATGACAACAAAAACATTACTGACCTATCCTTGCTGATATTACCTCCATTTGTGTGTGTTATATGTCAAAGGTTTTTTTGAAGGATCATGTGACACTGAAGACTGGAGTAATGGCTGATGAAAATTCAGCTTTGCATCACAGGAATAAATTATATTTGAAGTATATTAAAACAGAAAACAATTATTTTAAGTTTTACAATTTCACAATATTACTGCTTTCTGATCAAATGGATGCAGGCATGATGAGCATATGAGACTTTCAAAAACATTCAAAATTGTAATGTTTCCAAACTTTTGACAGATAGATATAGAAAAATGGCCTATTATTGTCACAGTACAGAAGGAATCAACACAGGTCAGTAGCGGAACGCAGATGTTTTATTTGCAGGAACTGGAAGCGTGAGCAGGAGAGTGAGAAGGTTGAGTATAACTGCAGTCAGGTAACTTAGCTGGATGGTAACAGGGATCTCGATGTGATTAAAGATGGCTGAACGAGCTAAAGGAGAGTGACTGACGACTGAACTGTGGTGTGGATGGTGACTGCTAATAGGGTGCGATATCTAGCGTGATTGCTCCCAGGTACGGGTGATGGTGGAGTGTGTGCAGGTGGTGAGCAGGGAGGATTCTGGGAAGTGTAGTGCGCACAGAGGTGATGGACTGGTGACTGAGGATGTGACAATTATAAGGCCATTTTTCCATGGCCTCCAAATTGTTCTACTCCTCTGATTAACCTTTGTCTATATATGGAGGCAAAAATGGCCTTTTCCATATGAAGTGCAGTAGATTCAGATGTGTATTTATATCTGGCTTGATCCTGCTGTAGAATAAACCATGATGAATTACTGAAAGAACCGTCTGAATTCTTCCAATATACATTTTTCTACGCCTTTGTGTTTTCCCCCTTTATTTCCCCCAGTGACATAGGGCCTAACTGATGTCATCATCTACAATCAGAGTGTGTGAGCATTTAAAAAGCTGCCATGTCTTCACCGGTGCTGGTGCTTGCCAGACAGGGGCGAGTGCTGGACAAGGGTGAGTACTGGGGTCTGACTAGTTACCTTTGCAGGTCTTTTTTCCATTCATTCGCTCTATTTCTATTCATTCATTCTGTGCTAACTATGAATGATATGCTACTGACATCTTGACTGAATAGTGATTTATTCTACATAGTTACATTACATGTAGCAGATTTCTGCTACTTAGTTGATGGTTTTTATCTACATCATAAACCCAAAATACAAAATCATACAAATTCTTTGCTTAAAGGACCTGGAAGCATGCAGAATTTAGCTGATTTATGCATAATTCATTATTTGTGTCTTATACAAGAATGTTATAGGAATATTTTCTTCTTCTGCTTTTTAAAAACATGTGATAACATTAATATTGAATGTTTTAATGCTATATGTTTTTCAGTGGTTTATTTGGTGCACCACCATTCATGTGTGTTCTAGATATGATCAAATATGTATCTTGAATGCATGTCACTTTGGATTAAAGCATCAACCAACTGAAAAATGTATGTATAAAACCCCCAAACAATACATTGAAATATTAACTGTTGTTCTTAAACTCCTTAATTTTTTTTAAATGTATTTATTTATATTTAAAAATATAAATATTTATACGTAAAACCCCCTAAATATATTAAAATATGAATGGTTGTTAATTAAAAAAAATATATATATATTTAAAAATACTAATATATTTGTATTTATAAATTATGTAAACCCCCAAATAATATCTTGAAATATTAATCATTGTTTAATTTTTTTTATTTATATTTAAAAATTTAAATATATTTGTATTTCTAAATATAAATATGTATGTCTAAAACCCCACAAACAATATCTTGAAATATTAAAAGTTGTTAAAAAATGCTTTACCTTTTTTTTATGATTGGCAATCTTATCATGCACTTATGTTTTTTTTTTTTTTTTTAGACTCGAGCCCTGAATGATGAATTCAACAGTGGGCCAACAACTCCTCGTGCGAGACACGTTCACTGCGGCCTTCATGAAGAACTTCATCGTGGTCCTGGTGTGGTTCCTCCTCAGCTACATCAACGGCAGCGTAGTGGCCACGTTCTTCAGACACCAAGTCTTTTACGAGGACCCTCGCTATATTCTCTTCATACATATGGTCATTAATGACGCAGTGCAGCTCACTGTAACCATTGCTCTGTTTGTGGTCAGTTACGCCTTGTACACTATCACTGTAGGAGTGTGTTGTTTCTTTATCCTGGTGGCAGTGTTCACCACCCGCAGCACACCTGTGAACCTGGCCGGCATGGCCCTCGAGCGCTACATCGCCATCTGCCATCCTCTACGCCATGCCCAGATCTGCACCGTGCGCCGTGCCTACATGCTCATAGGGGCCATTTGGTTCGTATCTGTGGTTCCTGACATCACTGACCTATTCGTGACCTTAGCCACAGAACCTCTGAGTTTCTTCCAAACCGCTGTTTTTTGTCTCAGGCCGAATGTGTTCAAAGACCCGGTGCTGCTGTATAAGCGGCAGGCGTTCGATGGGATTTATTTCTCTCTGGTGTTCCTCACGCTGCTGTGCACGTATCTGCGGGTCGTGTTCGCGGCTCGTGCGCTCTCCACCGAGAGAACGTCCGCCAAGCGGGCCACCAACACCATCTTGCTCCACGGGGTGCAGTTGCTCATGTGCCTGCTCTCTTACGTGTCTCCCAGTGTGGAGGGCGTTTTACACATCATCTTCCCGGGACGCATCCTAGAAATCCGCTTTGCCAACTATCTAATTGTCTATATTTTGCCACGCTTTTTGAGTCCAATCATATATGGAGTACGGGATAAAAAGTTCCGCAAGTATCTAAAGAGGTATTTTGTGTGTGGTCGCCCTGTAGACACAAGAGTAGAATGCAAAGGTGAAGAAGATTAAATGGATGGTTAGTTTTCTAATATTACAATGTGCCAAGGGTTTGGAATCTGATATGTGACACATTGTGTTTCTGTCTTGGCAAATGTTTAGTTTTAAATGATTCCCCATGTATTGTTTAGCAATTCCCAGATATTCAGAAAATGTTCACTCCTAATTATTTTGAATAAATCTGAGCTTTATGTATACATTTATTTATATATTATAATAAGACATGCATATAGACCATCATTGTTTTTAAAGTGTCGATTTGTGATATTGTTTTATTTATTTATTTGTTTGTTTAATGGTAGCCTAAAATGGTAACATAATATTAACAGTTTTTATTCATGTCAAAAATATTATTTAGCATCACTGAGTCACTCTAAATACATGAATGTATACCAACAAAACACATTTTTATTTTTAAATCAGGTGGAATAGTTTAAGGTAACAACTGCAGGTTACCACTTTTTAAAGTGTCTCATTGGTTTTATCTTATATTCTACAAATAGAATATTAAATGTTAAAAAAACTAACTTTTTCACTTTAAGACTAGCAATAGCAAGCTAGCTTTAAAAACATAAGATCCCAGACTCTTTTCACCATCTCCAAAGCCACACCTCCTTCAAAACACATGAACACGTACAGCAGGGAGCAAACAAAAGAGTCACGAAAGACGGCGTTAAACTTTCTCATGTCTCAAAGCACATAACATTACAATAATAATGAACATAAACACCTTAAAGAGCACTGACCTGTACCACCTGACTGCTGCAGATTCATTTTGCCGTTGATAGTGTAAATTCAAGTCACAAACCGCTCCGAGTAACGTCACAGGTTTCCATCTCTTCCAAATGACAGTAGTTATGGTGTGAGCGCAGCATAAGCTGTTGTTTTGGTTCAGGAACTGTAAAAGGCGGCTGCTGTTTCGTTTGTGGTGCTCGGTGACTGACGTCTGTCTAACTCTGCAGAGCATGAAACACGCTGATGACGTGTGATGTCTGCGCTAGCAGGTGCGCGGAGGAATGAATGCAATGATTGGATGAACAGTTTATGGTCCTACGCCTTCCACAGAAGATATATATACATATATACACTCACCGGCCACTTTATTAGGTACCCCATGCTAGTAACGGGTTGGACCCCCTTTTGCCTTCAGAACTGCCTCAATTCTTCGTGGCATAGATTCAACAAGGTGCTGGAAGCATTCCTCAGGGAGTTTGGTCCATATTGACATGATGGCATCACACAGTTGCCGCAGATTTGTCGGCTGCACATCCATGATGCGAATCTCCCGTTCCACCACATCCCAAAGATGCTCTATTGGGTTGAGATCTGGTGACTGTGGAGGCCATTTTAGTACAGTGAACTCATTGTCATGTTCAAGAAACCAATTTGAAATGATTAGAGCTTTGTGACATGGTGGAAGTAGCCATCAGAGGATGGGTACATGGTGGCCATAAAGGGATGGACATGGTCAGAAACAATGCTCAGGTAGGCCGTGGCATTTAAACGATGCCCAATTGGCACTAAGGGGCCCAAAGTGTGCCAGGAAAACATCCCCCACACCATTACACCACCACCACCAGCCTGCACAGTGGTAACAAGGCATGATGGTTCCATGTTCTCATTCTGTTTACGCCAAATTCTGACTCTAACATCTGAATGTCTCAACAGAAATCGAGACTCATCAGACCAGGCAACATTTTTCCAGTCTTCAACTGTTCAATTTTGGTGAGCTCTTGCAAATTGTAGCCTCTTTTTCCTATTTGTAGTGGAGATGAGTGGTACCCGGTGGAGTCTTCTGCTGTTGTAGCCCATCCGCCTCAAGGTTGTGCGTGTTGTGGCTTCACAAATGCTTTGCTGCATACCTCGGTTGTAACGAGTGGTTATTTCAGTCACTGTTGCCCTTCTATCAGCTCGAACCAATCTGGCCATTCTCCTCTGACCTCTGGCATCAACAAGGCATTTCCGCCCACAGAACTGCCGCTCACTGGATGTTTTTTCTTTTTCGGACCATTCTCTGTAAACCCTAGAGATGGTTGTGCGTGAAAATCCCAGTAGATTAGCAGTTTCTGAAATACTCAGACCAGCCCTTCTGGCACCAACAATCATGCCACGTTCAAAGTCACTCAAATCACCTTTCTTCCCCATACTGATGCTTGGTTTGAACTGCAGGAGATTGTCTTGACCATGTCTACATGCCTAAATGCACTGAGTTGCCGCCATGTGATTGGCTGCTTAGAAATTAAGTGTTAAAGAGCAGTTGGACAGGTGTACCTAATAAAGTGGCCGGTGAGTGTATATATATATATATTCAGACCTATTAACTTAGTGATTGCTATCAGGATGTGAAGAGACTTTCAATCAGCATAACAAAAAAATTTTATGGAACAAATTGCCTACCCTGCCTTTAACTAAGCAAAACAATTCATTTTCTTTGTTTTGTACGTCACGTTAGAAAATTGTGGCCTATATGGAAGGAAGACATTATGGCCTTTACAAGAACCAACCTGATCTCATTAGAATTTGTAAGATTTTGTTAGAATTTTAATACAAACTTGTATGAAAACATATGATTTGGAGGCAAGACGTTGCACAGACTCAAACTCAGACTCAGATCTCACTTTTTCCAATTAAGATCGCTATCTTTTTTTTTTTTTACTTTTGCAGAGTTTGAGAGAGTGATACATGCATTTGACTACTGCAATTCTCTTTATATTGGAATAAGTAAATCTAATATTAATAGTCTACAATTGACCGGCTCCCAGAAATTTGACTTTTTGTATTTAAAGCTCTGACCGGATCGGTACCTCAATACCTCTCTGACCTTCTTAATCCAAATACATCTGCTAGATTTCTGAGGTTGTCTGATCTGAGCAAAGTTAACCCTTCCAAGATCCAGACTAAGATTGAGGGGTGATCGTGCCCCATTTCCATTGCTGGGCCAAAACTGTGGAATAGTCTCCCGGTTTCTCTCAGATTAGTTTGATCAAAATCTGAATGTCAATCAAGGTTAAAAAATATTTTACCCAGGCTTATAACTGCTCTCATAGTCTAAGAGTCTAAGTCTCTTATCAATGTTTTAATTTCTTTTCACTCTTTCTTGTGCTTTATAGTGTTTATGCACTTTTAATGTTTTGATGTCTATTTTAGTATGGCTGTAGGCACAGTGGTCAACTACTGTGCTTTATAAATAAAAACTTTGATTTGGCAGACAAAAAAAATCATATTTAAAAGCTAACTTAACTTGTGTTGGTTTACACCTCTGTTTACATCCTTTTACCCCTGCATGGGAAAAACAAACCAGTGCTATGGAGTAAAATGTCAAACCCCTGAAGAGTTTTCAGGGCATTCTCCAATCAACCACCTTCATCTATATCACATCCATATATGTATACAGTATATAAGATTCAACACAGACTGGGACTGTCAGGGAAGGGCAGGGGGCATTTTAGGTGAGAGGGGACTTGACTAACCAACATCGCTTTACTCTAGTTAGCATTCTTAAAATGAAGCAATTTGGATAATACCTATTACACTGGGATATATTTTGCCACAAGACTGGTTAATGACATTCATTCTTTCAGGAAACAAAAACATGTCTATTATGTGTTCTTATTTAATTGTGCAGCAGTAGCTCTAGCAATAGAAATGTGTTTTTTTGTTGTTGGTACTTGCTTATAAGGTACTAGTAAATCATTATCATGCATGTCTTTTAATATGGCTTTTTCTGTATTTAGCTTTACTTACTGATTAAAAGATGCAGAATGTATAGCCTATAATATTGAGTTGCACACATGCACTGTGTCTATAATATGTGCTTTATCATGTCAGGTTGAGAACATGAACTCCAGTGCTGTCTCAGAGTACGGTAACTCTACTTTACTCCTTCTGAATGTCATACCGCGAGACAGCTTCAGCGCTGCTCTCACTAAAAACATCGTGGCCATGCTTGTATGGCTGGCGCTCAGTGGCCTTAATTGCAGTATGGTGTCCACTTTCCGCAAGCACAGTTTCTTCTATGAAGATCCACGTTATATCATGTTTATCTGCATGGTCATTAATGATGCCGTACAACTGACACTGGTAACCGCCTTGTATGTGGTAAGTATTAAGATTAAATATGTGGCCAAAAATGAGTTAAAAGACACTTAAGCTACACTTATAAATGCCGGAATGTCATTGCATTGGAAGCAAAATCAAAGCTTGTATTTTGTTTAGCCAGTTTAAAGTATGCTGCCATTCAAATGAGTCACTTATACTCACCAAGCCTGAATTTATGGTCAAAAATATTGTGAATATTCTGAAGTTTATTCCAATTTAAAATTAATGTTTTTTATTTGAATATATTGTAAAATGTATTGTATTCCAATGATGCAAAGCTGAATTTTAAAGTCTTCAGTGTCACATGATTCTTCAGAAATCATTCTAATATGCTGATTTGCTGATCAAGAAATATTTATTATTATTGTTATTATCAATGTTGCGCTATAAACCATGAAGCCTTTTTTTCCAGGATTCTTTGATGAATTGAAAGTTCAAAAGAACGGCATTTTTGTAACATTATAAATGTCTTTACTGATATCAATTGAATGCATTGTTGCAGAATAAAAGTATTAATTTCTTTCCAAAAAAATCCATAATTACCCAAACTTTTGAACACTATAGTGTAAGTGTTTTTTAAAAAAGCAATAAAATTCTATAAAATGAATATACCCTGTCTAACTTGTGAAATAATTATTTTGTTTTGATATTGTCTGTTTTTAGAAAGCTAAATACAAATGTTCATTTTACTTTTTTTTTTGGTTTAAGTTTACTTACTAATGAAGAAAATCAAGTTGAAACTCTGAAAACTCTGAGTAGAAGTTTAATGGATGAAAACTAAGATGCTTAAACATAATGAGTGTATAAAGAAACAATGTCAGTGTCTAATATGTATGTTGTTTGTGGCCCTTTCCTCCTGTTGTAGGTGAGTTATGCCTTCTCAAAGATCTTGGTGTCTGCCTGCTGCCCGCTGGTCATGACCGCTGTGACGACCACCCGCTCCACACCGCTCATCCTGGCCGGCATGGCCCTGGAGCGCTACATCTCCATCTGCTTCCCGCTCCACTACAGCCACATCTGCACAGTCACACGCACCGTGTGGATCATCGGGGGGATCTTCCTCCTGAGCTTCACTCCTCCGCTCACCGATCTTCTCATCACTGTCGCCAAAGAACCACCACTCTTCTTCCAAACGTCCATTTTCTGCGATCAATCGCTCCTATTCCGAGACCGCTCGATCTATTACAAGAACTGCGCGTTTGATAGTGTGTATTTCTCTTTTGTCTTCTTGTCTTTACTTTATACGTACTGTAAGATCGTGTTGACGGCCCGTGCGGTCTCCACTGACCAGGTGTTGGCCAAGAAGGCCCGTAACACAGTCCTGCTCCATGGGGTTCAGCTGCTATTGTGCATGTTGGCGTTTGTCGTGCCGTCCATGCAGGCTCAGCTCATACAACTGTTTCCGATGTATAGCCTAGAGATACGCTATGTTAATTTTCTTCTGGTCTACATCATTCCACGATTTCTCAGTCCAATGATATATGGATTCAGGGATGAGAAGTTTCGCAAGTATTGGCTCAGATTCTTTATCTCTAAAGCACAGAGAGTCAAACCAGTCAGCCATTTCTCTCAAAAGCTTGGATGATATTCCATGAATGATTTGTGGGTGACGCCGATTTCTGGATGGAGTTCATGTGTAGGAGACATTTTAACATCCAACAGGACATTAGAAGCAAGGGCTGATATTATTGAAAGGACATTATTTTTCAGTGGAACAAATACATATAATCATGCACTGAAGTAATGAAAAATAACTGTTTGAAAAGAAAACAAACTGTTAATCATGTTCCCTGCACATTGTGTAACTGTTGAACAAAGTTTTGGCACCATCAACATTTGATTTGAAGATTTGAATATATAAGGAAAACATTTCACGGGTAGTTAACACCATGTCCATAAATTCTCGATTTTAATGCAATATAGGCCTATATGCATTTGTACCTGTATATGAGCAAATTATATTGCTATTTTAGTTGCTACAAGGTGAACGTGATTTCACCAAGTACAACATCATTGTTGATCCTGAAACAACATTCCAATCAACCAATCAGATTTAAGGGACAAAGTTTACAGTTTATGTCAAGTTTAGGCTCACAACCAAGGTTATAGGTGCTTCTACATCAGTGTTATTCACTTATCATTTCCGTCTGGTTTTATGGAGAACTTATGGGTAGGGTTTTAATACAGGAATGTTGTTCCTGAAACAATATATGTTAATCCAGGAACATCTTATTTGGCAAAATCAAGTGTTGGCATTGTCTTGTATAAAAGTCTTCATGTAAGTTTTTTTTACCATTTACTTAAATAGTCTTGCAGTGTAACAAATTCATTTTAAAACTACAATATTCCATGTAGTTTCTCAAGTAGTATGAGGTTACTCACATTACATTTAGATTTATGCATTTATCCAAAGCGACTTACAATAGAGTTACAAAAGCAATCATCAATGAGCCAAAAATACTCGTAATTCAAAATACAGGTCACGTGCACATTACTAAACCAACTACATGAACGCAAAAAATACATAGACAGGGCATGCATCTTGATTAATCTCACATCATCTTAAAGAAGCTCATTAATTCAGCCCAAATCCTCCGTTGTGCAGTTTGCCCTTGTGAGAGCACAGCAATTGCATTATCATTAGTATATATAGGGTATCATACATTGCTTTGAGGTTAGGGGCCAGGAATACGGAAGGTTTGTTTATGCATTCTTTGTCTTGAAATTTGTAAAGTTTTACCACTGTCTTACAAAATGTGAATGTATTTTCTCTTCATCTTTAAATTATTAATTGTGCTTTTATAATTCTTACGTATTATTATCTATACTTCAAGTGAGCTAGTACAACTTTATACTGATAATTGAATTGTTAGTGAGTTTTGAGACTTTACAACTATATGTCAGTGTACTTAAATAAGTAGTTTAGCCACCAGAATTCTTCAGCTATTGGGATCATAACAATGAACAGCACCATTCCAGTGAATCAGTTTTATGACATGTTCATCCAACGCTATCTCACGACCAATTCGTCCGAATTTGACGAGTGATTAAAAGATGGCTAATTCGTACGAATTCGTACGACCTCACTCGTACGAATTTGTACGATTTGTCTAAACCCACGTGATGGGTAGGTTTAGGGGCGGGGTCAGGGGTAGGTCATTCGTACGAATTCATACGAATTGGGCAACTCGTCAAATATGTACGATTTAGCAAAAATCGTACGAGTGAGGTCGTACGAATTGTTACGAATTAGCCATCTTTTAATCACTCGTCAAATTCGGACGAATTAGTCGTGAGATCGGGTTGGTTCATCAAGAATTTCATGGCCATTGAGCGTTACATTACCATTTGCAAACCCCTACATCACTCACAAATATGTACAGTTCAGAGGACCTACATGCTCGTCAGCAGAGGCAGCTCTGAGTGATATATTCATTGCATTATCAAATCGACCAGCAAGCTTTTTTCAACTGCCATTTTATGCCACATGTTTATGGGATCAAAATCCCGCCAAATGTATTGCGGCCACGGATCAAAAAATAATAAGCGTGATTCAAAAATGTAAAAACACATGTAAAAATATATTGCACAAACTGAAAAAAATAATGCAAAATTGTCAGAAAAGCAAACAACGTGGTCACGGGTCAAAATATAATAAGCGTGAATCAAAAAATAACAAGCATGAATAAAAACTTTAAACACATTAAAAACTATTTTGCACGACACTTAAATTTATGTTCATGTTTTTCGCTCTTCTTTCCGTGTTCTGCGTTTGCTCTTCCAAATGTTGCAGTTCGAGTTTCATGTAAATTAGGGCGGGCTTAAGCGTCACCATTGGTCCACTAGTTCTAGATTGACAGCTCCTCCTCTAGCCAATCAATCGAAGAGGGGAGTTGACGTCACTCCAATGTGACTCACGCTACTGACCTTTGCGCTCATGCGGAAGCGTCGAGTATAAACAATGCTTTACGTTTTAACCAGCTCAGCCACAGTAACAGCTCATATTAGCCAGCTAAACTTTTACTACCCTGTTAGAAAAAATATGTAGTTGGATAGTTTCATGTGGTTCTTCTCCCTCGCTGTATCATGGGTTTGCTATGTGGGGAGAAATGTGTTGGTTACGTTCGTGAGACAATCAGCTGATTACTATTATTATATTATAAAGACCCTTTTATTAAGACCCTTGATCCTCACCTGACTATGGCTTTGTAAACTTTATCCATGATGTGGTTTATAATGGACTGTGGTACAGAAACTTGGCTTACTCTGGCTATTCTCTGCTGTCTCAGACGACGATATGTTTGTCCCGTTTTAGGAACTGCAGCTTCTTCGAAAGGGAGTGTGAGCAGTGGGCTGAGCCGTTAGTGCAACTCGCAACCGAACCACTAGATGCCGCTAAAATCTACACACTGCACCTTTAAACTTTGAGGGATGGGAGTACCCACCCCCATCTACCAGTGGCGGCTGGTGGGTTTTAAAGGGGTGATTGATTATGATTTTACTTTCCTAACATTAGTTAGTGTGTAATGTTGCTGTTTAAGCATAAACATCTGCAAAGTTACAAAACTCAAAGTTGAAAGCAAAGGGAGATATTTGACAAAAATCACTTTTTAAGGACTACAACAAATGACTGATTGGGACTACAAGACATTCCTCCAGGGTTAGTGACATCACAAACCCTAAACTTTACATAAACCCCACCTCGCAACAAAGGACTCTATATGGCCGAGCTGTTGAAGCTCCACCCTGTGTGCCTGCCGGGAGCAGCAGCTCATTTGCATTTAAAGAGCCCACACATAAAACAATGCATTTTTGCTCACCCTCAAAAAAGGACAATTTTAATATGCTATAAAAATGATCTGTGGGGTATTTTTAACTAAACTTGCAGATACACGCAGATATATCCAACTTAGGCATGTGGTCTTCCTTCATTTTTAATTTGTAGCTGTTGTTTGAATGGTAGTTTAGTAAATTAGTTTGCGATCAAATATTCAATATCTACTCTGCATAATTACATCAGCGGTAGCAGTTCAAACTAATATCACGTAATTTACGTCTCGTCGATGATTGGTTGATATACCAAGGGAAGCTATAGCCTCCTCTACCATGTTACTTTTCTCAACACTCCTAATCGCTGAAATGAAATACTCGATGGTGATTGGCAATTTTCCAGAAAAAATTCCAGCTATGGATTTGCCTCCCCCTACCTTTCTCTATCCCCTCAGACTCGCGGTTCGCAGATTTGGCACATTCGGGCAGAGCGCGGTGGTTACACTTACAGAGGTGAAATGACTAACAATAAATACATTCTGAGACATGAAATTAATAACTGGGAATTTTATTAACATTAAATCATCCTTCAAAATTTTGGGTTGGCTGGGCCTCCCTTGCCTCCCCTGATGAGCCGCCACCGCCATCTACAACGTCACCGAGGCTCGCCCCAGCAATCAAATCGCTCAGCTTAACCGTTAGTCACAGACTCAAGTGTCTTATATCGTCCTTGGTCCAAGACGAACAAAACGCACGTTGGTGGAATTTTGGGGTATTTTGAACTTTTTGAAAAACCTACTTTTGTGAAATAGTCCTGGAGTTTTCGCCTGACCGGAACCAAACCAGCGCAGAAAGATTCTCTGGAGTCTGGTTGTTAATAATTATCAAAGTAACAAAAAATAATTTATTCACATCCACGATTGGATGCCGAAGTGGTCAAGGCCACTTTTATTAAAATGGCTATCACGCTTGAACAGAATGAGCTAATTTCACAAAACTCGATACACCTATGTACAGGCACAGTCTGTGGTCGCGTGGAAAAGGATACGGCGACTGGCCACTTGGTGGCGCTATAAAATGAACAAACAAACACGAAAACGGTTATAGCTAAACAACAGTCAGGTGCAAGGTGCAGTTTTTGTCCAAAGTGCCGTGATTGTCTATGAGGACATTTGTGGATCTCGAAAAATACTGCCGCCGTCAGCCAATGAAGTTTGAGCACATATCGGACAAGGTTAACGGAGGCCAATCGGAACGAAACTTGGTGGGCCTGTTTGACTCATGGACATAAAGGTCTGTGCAAAATTTGAAAGAAATTGGCCAGCAGGTGGCGCTATAGGGTTTTAAGCCTCATTTGTCACACTGTTTCACACATACACACAATTTATATCATATGTTAGAATTTCCTCGTTCTGAACAACTTTGACTCAAAAGCCACGACTCTCGATCAAATCGTAAGTTAAATATTTGAGATTATTTAAAAAACCTACTTTTCACCTTTAATTTCACTGTATTCCTGTTTTATGCCTGTCTCAATATTACCAGCGTGCTCGCTCTTTCTCCCTCTCCCTCTCCCTTTCCCTCTCCCTCTCCCTCTCCCTCCCCACTCCCTTTCTTACTCCTTCACTGTCTCCTCTTCCTCATCTAAAGTATTTAAACTTGTCAGTTTTTACATCTCGAAGCAAATCAGTCGACCATGCAAGGTGGGAAGGTAAGCGCTCTATGTTTAACACATATTTAATATATATAATATGTTGTGTTCATGTGTTGCTAATAGCTTCTCACTCTTAAATATTCTGTTAAAAGTGTATTTATTTAATTTTCAGATCAGATGACACAGATGGAAAATATTCATCTTACTGCTTGATGGACAGAAAGTTGGGGACATCATTTGGAGGGAAAAAAACAACAACCAAAAAGCCAAGAAAAAATATTTTCACACATAAGAGTCACAGACCTTCATGCCAGTGCAAAAGAATAATGAATTCTACAATGTTTCAGTACACCACAGAAGACAGATATGCAGAAGCTTTTGCAAAAAATTTCACCACTGTTCTTGTCGGGCTCATAGTCAACTGCGTCAATGGAATAATTGTTTTCACGTTCTTCAAGAGTTCAATTTTCTACAATGATCCAAGATATATATTATATATTCACATGGTCATCAATGATATGCTCATGGTTTTTTTCAGTGTAAGTCTTGTTGTGATGGCTTATGCATGGCCAAAGGTTCCTGTCCCGTTCTGCATTACACTGCTAATAATAGCCTCAACAACTCATAAGAACACTCCTCTGACTTTGGCCGGTATGGCCGTTGAGCGTTACATCGCAATCTGCAAACCATTGCATCATCATCAGATTTGCACAGTGCGCAGGACATACATCCTTATCTCTCTGATTTGGGGTGTAGGAGTTTTACCTGGATTGGCTGACTTGATTCTCCTTTCAATTGTTCGTCCTTTATCTGTTTTTACAACAAGTAGTCTCTGTAGTACAACTAATGTGTATAGCACACCATACCATGAAGACCAAAGCAAAATTACACATGGGCTTTATACATCTGTTGTGTGGGTAATTCTTGTATTCACATATTGTCGAGTGCTTATTGCGGCCAGAAGAGCCTCCGCTGATAAATCCTCAGCAAAAAAGGCCCAAAACACCATCCTGTTACATGGAGTACAGCTTCTGCTCTGTATGTTGTCCATCATTACTCCTATCATAGACAAGATTTATAGCCAACTTGTACCTACTCTACGGTCAAAAATCACCTTTTTCAATTATCTTCTTACAAACTTATTACCAAGACTACTTAGCCCCCTCATTTATGGTGTTCGAGATAAACAATTTTTTAAATACATGAAAGGACTTTTTTCATGTAGGTTACTTAATGTAAAAGTTGAATCAACTAAGCAGTGAGCTAAAAAGGTATCATCATATAAGCATAATTAGTAATTATTTTATTATTCTCCCTATGCAAAATATATTTTTAATATGTGCTTTTCTCTTAGTTATTTTCTTATTCTGATTTTGTAATTATAACTTCTTGGCCAAGTGGAATTTAGAGAAAAAGTGTTAAGGAATATTAAGAATTATGTTTGTAGCATTTAAAAAACTGTTGTACGTTTTACAAATAAACACATGCATTGAATTCAAATACAGACTTATGTTTTATGGAATATATCACAATTGTGAAATTACATTTCTTAATGGCTTTATTTCTTATTTTACTGTATAGCTTTTTTTTTGGATTTCATTTGAAAAGTCAATACAGGCTAATTTTCTTCTCTGTAACTCTTACAACATAAATAAAAATGCCAAAAAACACTTTTTATTCATTTTATTTTTGTATGCACACTGTACATATGCTTTAATAGCCTGATTAAATACACAATTTGTATACACTGTGTCTTCCCAACATTATGGTGCCAACATTTTGTACAAAAATACATTAACTTGTCAAAGTTTCATATGAGGACAAAAATTATTCTTGTAAAATAATTAAGAATCATAATGTGCTGTGAAGACTCACCCAACATTTTCCCAAAATGTTTATTCGACAATTGATAATTGGAAAATAATATGCTTAATTCTTCTTGCTCAAATTTTTTTCTCATTTACCTTAGGAAATTTAAACCCAAACATAAGCTTTATATGGAAGTGTAGATTGTTCATTGTATTGTTCATTGTTTCAGTTTTGCTCAGAAAGTTGATGTGGCTGTGGCTATGTGGGGAGCAGGAGGAGGTCGAGGGACGTGAGAGAACGACGCGAGGCCGGTGGCATGGTTAATGATGAAGGACACCTGTGAGACGCACGCACCGGTCTCGTATCTCTCACGGAGGAGCGGAAGCATAAAGGAGGAGCGACGCCAGTGAAGATCAAGAGAGGAACAGGCCTGATTTTATGTTGTGTTGTTTTATGATGTGTGGCGGCAGTCGACCGTGAGGGACTGTCGTCTTTACTTTCGTTTTTGTATTTGTTTATTATTAAAATTGTTGAACGTTCGCCGGTTCCGCCTCCTTCTTCCCATAACATCTGAACCTCCTCCTGCTCGCCACAGGCTATATCTTATTGGACTTTTATCATTTTGATTCATACTTAAATTTACAATAACTGATCTGTATTGCATGCTCTACAAAAATCATATCCTTTGTATTTCTATATCAGGTGACACATCTTTGGGATATTTTAACATAAAATTATTTGATTGTATTGAATTAAAAACCCAAAAATGCAGTGGGTCCACCAGACCCACGAACACTGGCTGAATAACAAAAATATGAACACCACACAAGGGTTAAATGAAAGTGGATGTCAAGTGAATGAATGTAAATAAAATTAAAAAAACTGCCATGGTTTTCTGTCACAAATTGACCAAATGCACTCAACCCACTTGCAACCTTGGGGCGTGACCTCTAGTCTTCCTTCAAGACAGACTTACCATACAATGAAGGTCACTTCAGGTGCCTTTTCTGCTGAATATTTATGTACAGCTGAGGACTGTACATAATGTCAATGTTTTCGTATGTGAAGAATACATCCTATAGATTTACCGGAGGTAGTACAACATAGAGAAGTCTCTGTGGAGTGCTTCACCTAAGGGGGAGAAACTAACAACCACAGTGACTGGTGACGGAACGAAGCTCTGTCCAAGGGAAGACACAGGGTTCAAGCCAGGGAACCGAACAGTGGACAATACACATATGGGACCACCATTAGGGAGTCACTACATATGGAGCACTAACCCAAGGGCTCACCTGAAAGGGGTATATATCAAAGCTAATGGGTCTGGTGAGTAGTTCCTCGTCAAAAACTCATCTACCAAAATGTGCTTAAATGATGCAAGGTTGGTCCAAGGTTCAACATTATAGGAAACTTTAACTTGAAACTAAACGTGCATGATATCGCCTTAGCGAAGGGAAAGGCGCTGATGTAAGAACTACACCCTCCCAGTCGTCTGAGTTCCCAGAACACTGGACGGAACTGGTTCCATGCGTCGATTATTAAATATTGCAAAAGTGTTGGGTGTAACCCAGCCTGCAGCTTTAAAGATGTCTACTAGTGAGGCACCGTTCGCTAAAGCCGAAAAAGCAGCGACAACTCTGGTGGAGTGAGCCCTCTTTCCTAAGGGAAATGGTAAGCCTTGAGAAGCCAGGAGAAATGCATCCACAATCCAGCGGCCCATTCTTTGTTTAGAGACAGCCTTTACCTTCTGCTGTTCTCCAAAGCAGACAAAGAGCTGGTCTGATCTTCTAAAGCTATCCAGATAAATGCGCAAAGTGCGCGCTGGACAACAGAGATAGGGCTGGTTCTCCCTTATCAGGAGGGAATGCTTGCAAGGTTATCACTTGATCCCTGAAAGGGGTAGTGTGAACCTTAGGCACATAGCCGCGCTGGGGTCTCAGGATCACGTGACAATATACCAGTCTGAACTCAAGGCTTGTATCATCAACAGAGAGGGCTTGAAGGTCCCCCACCCTCTTGACCGAAGTGAGCGCAGTCAGGAGGGTCGTCTTCATAGAGAGGGCACTGAGCTTGACTGACTGTAAGGGCTCAAATGGATCTTTCTGTAAGGCCTGTAAGACCACTAAGAGATCCCAAGAGGGGACAAGGTGTGGCCCTTGGAGGATTCAACCTCAGAGCACCTTATAGGAACCTAATAATTAGGTTGTGTTTTCCCACTGACCTGCCATCAACGTGTTGTGATTGGCTGCTATAGCAGCCACAAACACCTTCAAGGTGGAGGCGGATAGGTGTCTCGCATCCCCGTTAGGTTCAGCCAAAGGTGTCGTTCCTAGACCACCAAAGTGGATATTGCCCTTGGTGTTTCGGGACGCAACGGTTTCCAGCAAGCTCATGCCTCAGGCACAAGACATTGCGTCAGTGCATCTGAGTCAGTCCCTTGACATTACGTCGTTGGGACTCTCGCATCCTCTGAGGAGGGAAATAGACGAATCAGCAGAGTTGTTCCCTGCCAGTTTGCTTCAGCTGACTACTTGAAGAACACCAGAGGCCAGTCTTGAGAGGCTATGTCGACGATTGGCAAACGGATGGTGGTTCGGCATCGAGATGTCATCCTCGCCATTATGAAAAAGTTAGGGTGAAGGCTGAATGCCAAGAAGAGTGTGCTTTCTCCAGCACAGAGAACCACTTTTCTAGGTGTGGTGTGGGACTCAACGTCAATGCAGGCACGTCTGTCTCCTGCTCGTATTGATTTGATTCTCACTGCCATAAACAAGATAAAGCTAGGCCAGTCACTCACTGCCAAACAGTTTCCGAGACTGTTGGGTCTGATGGTAGCTGTGTCCAAAGTGATATCTTTTGGCCTGCTGTACAAGAGACCCTTGCAGTGGTGGCTTAAGACCAAGGGGGTTTTCCCAGAGGGAAACCCACTCCACATGATGATATGGAGGAAGCCTTGGTTCTTGTCCCAACGTCCCATGTTAGGAGCCCATTGTCATTGCTTCATGCTAATGACAGATGCTTCCCTCAAGGGCTGGGGAGCGGTTATGGAAGTCCACTCAGCTCAGGGTCTTTGGAGGAGTCATCATCTCTAATGGCACATAAATTGCCTGGAAATGATGGCTGTCTTCACAGCATTGAAGCATTTCCTCCCAGACCTGAGAGGCCATCATGTGCTTGTTCGCACAGACAACACATCAGTGGTCTCATATATAAAGCATTAGTGGTTATGTGTCTGTGCCGCTATGCAAATTGGCAGATCCTCCTGTGGTCCCAAGGAAAACGGTATACATTCTAGGGTACCAAAACTTATGAGCAGACATCCTGTCCAGGCAGGGGCTGAGGCCCGGGGAATGGAGACTTCACTGCGAGGTGGTGAAGTGTATATGGGAGTTTTTTGGCCAAGCGTAAGTGGATCTGTCCGCATCTAAGGATATGACAAACCCAGCTCTCTTGGGGATGGATGTTATGGTACAGACATGGCTGAGGCTACGTCTGTACGCTTTCCCCCCGAATGCTCTGGAACCTGTGGGTTTGGCCTCTGAGGGGCAGAGGTTGTGGAGACCATACTTTATTTCTTTACCACAAATTCTTTTCCATGTCACATCAAAATCTAAATGCTGTATTATAATCAGATGGACCCATTATTACACCATGAGAGCAATATACTGTAATAAAAATATACTCTTTCTTTCCTTCCCTTACTCCCATCATCATCCCCCCCATCCCCCCGCACCCCCCCCCCCCCCCCCCCCCCCTTGCTGTCTCGTGCTCTTTTTTGCTCCTCCCACTTTTACATCTTAAGTGAGCATATAAACTTGTCCGTTTACATCTGGAGCCAAAACTATTTACTAAGCAAACGGTAAATTCACTCTTTCAGCAATGTCTTTAATTTTGTATGTATATTCTTCATATACAGGTGAAACTCGAAAAATTACAATATGTAATTTTCAGTAATTTCAGTAATTTAACTTAAAAGGTGAAACTAATATATTATATAGACTCATTACATGCAAAGTGAGATATTTCAAGCCTTTATTTGTTATAATTTTGATGATTATGTCTTACAGCTTATGAAAACCCCAAATTCAAAATTAGAATATTGTGAAAAGGTTTTCATATCTGTAAGCCATATAATCATCAAAATTATAACAAATAAAGGCTTGAAATATCTCACTTTGCATGTAATGAGTCTATATAATATATTAGTTTCACCTTTTAAGTCGAATTACTGAAATAAATGAACTTTTGCACCATATTCTAATTTTTCGAGTTTCACCTGTAATTGTTAACCTGCTAATTTTTTCTTCATTTAATTTTCCTATCAGGTTAAATAAATGGAAAAATCCTCAGGATAAAAAAGATTGTATTACAGCTTGATGTTCTTTGGACAGCCATAAAGACATTTTTAAGGAAAAGAAAGGGACAACAACTGTCAAAAATCTTACTTTCCAAGAAAAAAAGGACTGTCATATTAAACTGAACTTGACACCAGTGCAAAAGCGGAATGAACTCTTCAATGCTTTTATATAGTCTACAAGAAAAATATGCAGATGCTTTTGCAAAAAATTTTACCATTGTTTTTCTTGCAGTCATAATTATCTCCATAAATGGAGTGTTTGTATTCATATTCTTTAGGAGTTCAATTTTCTACAATGATCCGAGATATATATTATACATTCACTTGGTTATCAATGATATGCTCATGGTGTGTTTCAGTGTAATTCTATTTGTGATGACTTTTGCATGGCAAAATGTCCCTCTCCCGTTCTGCATTACACTGCTAATAATAGCCTCAACAACTCATAAGAACACTCCTCTGACTTTGGCCGGTATGGCCGTTGAGCGTTACATTGCAATCTGCAAACCACTGCATCATCATCAGATTTGCACAGTGCGCAGGACATACATCCTTATCTCTCTGATTTGGGGTGTAGGAGTTTTACCTGGATTGGCTGACTTGATTCTTCTTTCAATTGTTCGTCCTTTATCTATCTTTACAACAGGTACTTTCTGTAGTTCAGCATCTCTTTATAACACTGCGTATCATGGAGAACTAAGCAAATTGATGAATGGCCTTTACTCATCTGTTGTGTGGGTAATTCTTGTATTCACATATTGTCGAGTGCTGACTGTGGCCGGAAGAGCCTCCGCTGATAAATCCTCAGCAAAAAAGGCCCAAAACACCATCCTGTTACATGGAGTACAGCTTCTGCTCTGTATGTTGTCCTACATTACTCCTGTGTTAGACAAAATTTTTCTCCAAATTGTTACTGATCAGCAGAAGAAAATCTTATTTTTCAATTATCTTTTAACAAACATTGTACCAAGACTTCTTACACCTCTGATTTATGGTGTTCGGGATAAACATGTTTATAAACATATAAAGGGACCTTTTTCATGTAAATTACCTATTGCAAAGGTTGAATCAACCAAATATTGAGCAAAAATTACTTTATCTTGCTAGTTTGCTTTCTTAGTTTACTCTGCGGAAAACAAAGACATTTTCATGGGTTCACTACTTTTTTGTGAACACAGATAAAAAAAAATTTTTTTACACTCCAGCTAAAAATTATATGGGGTTTAAACTATGGTTGAATAAGGGAATAGCTAGATTGATGGACTTATATGAAGACAATATTTTAATGTAATTTGACAATCTGGTATCAAAGTTTCATATACTCCGGAAACATTTTTTTAAAAACCTGCAGCTTAGTACTTTTATTTTTTTTTAAACTAAATAATTCTGTGCAACTCCTTTCATTATCCACACTGGAAACCTTTTCCACACAAGACTGTTTCAGTAAAGGGCGAATTACCCAATTATATAATATACTCGTACAGAATCATAAAGAAAATTCTGAAAATAAAAGACGAGCATGGATGCAGGATTTAAATAAAGACATTTCATTAGATGAGTGGGGTACAATATGTGTAAAAGCACAAACTCAAACTATAAATACTAGTTTGAGGCTCTTACAATATAATTGGATAATGATAACTTATTTCACTCCAGTTAAATACATGTAACCCTAGTATTCCTGACTTATGTTTTAAATGCAATAATTTCCAAGGCACATTATTTCATTGTGTGTGGGAATGTGGTGGTGCAAAAGTTTTGGAGGAAAGTGACTCAGTATGTATCTCAATTTACTACTACTCCTATTAAGCCCGGTAATATGTATATTGGGGGTCTATGTGGACAATTGCTCTCTGCCCGTCAAAGAAAAAAAAACTGGTGGATTTGTGGATTTGTAGATTTTTACAAGCCAGGCGTTCAATTGCCCTTTGCTGGAAGAATACAAGTTTTCCTTCCCTTGACTGAAAAACTTGATATCCAGTTTGGCCCTTGAGAAGCTTACATTTATGCATTTGGCAGACGCTTTTATCCATAGCAACTTACATTGCATTTCAAGGTACACATTTACATTCATATCAGTTCTTGCTTTCCCTGGGAATCAAACCCATGACCTTGACGTTGCAAGCGCCAACGCTCTACTGTTTGAGCTACAGGAAAGCTACATATTACCCCTTTTCCACCAAAGCATTTTGAGAGCCGGTTCGGAGTCGGTGCCTACTCGAGAACCAGTTCTTTGTGTTTCGACAGCCAAAGAACCGGTTCTCGGCCAGGAAAATTGGTTCCAAAGCGGCACCAACTCTTTGCTGGACTAGAACCGTTCTTTTACCACGTCATACTTATGTCGTGGACTGGGGGCGGGTTACTGTGAACAACAACACGATGGGAATGGGAAAGCTAAGACGTATGGCGACGTACACAGTGACGTAACGACGTCGTTGCTGGGCTCTCTAGTCAGTGGAAAAACAAACTGAGAAGGTTCGCAAGTTGAACCAACTTTGAACCAGCACCAGTTCCGAACCAGTTCTTTTTTGGTGGAAACGAGGTGACCAAGGGGAAGTCTTCAGAATTTTACGAAATTTGGGAGATGTTCTTGAGATTTGATAAAGGAGGAGATATTGAAGAGGCTATAGATGTGTGAAGTTGTAGTATATGCTTAATGCTTAACAGGAGTGTGTGATATAAAGCCCTGTATGTTTAAGGATTTTTTTATTTAAGTTCCTCTTTGTTCTCAGTTAAGTTGTCCGTGTCAAGTCAACATGCTGTTTCATTGCCTTCTTTGTACCTGTGGATTACCTGAGTATGTGTGTTCAATAAATACTTTTGTTTTGGAACATTCTGCATCTTTTTTTAATCTTCATCGGACCTATACGTGACAGGTGTCATGTACAGTATATCATTTCAACTAAACTTCCCGGCAGTTCCCCGCAAAAAAAAAAAAAACATTCGGGGCTAGACTAAATTCTTTCGAGGCTAGAAAGATTCTTATTTTCTAAATTCTCATTCCCATAGCCATACTAAACACTCCGAGAGTTGTTATGAAATAAATACAAAGTTCTGTTATGAAACAGGAGCAGACTGATAGGTCCTTAAAGGACAAGTTCGGTATTTTACACTTAAAGCCCTGTTTCAAGATCGTTTCTGATGAAATAGAACGGTTAAGATTAAAATTTGGACACATGCTGCTGTCCCGAGAATTTTCGGTTTCTGTGGTTTCGGTTTCTGTGGTCTACATTGTGCAGCAACAGCATGTCTTACATGCTCACAGTAGCGTGTCTATGTATTTGCAGTAGCAAATGCTGCTGTAGTCCGTCCGTGTTACCAGTATTACACAGTTTTGAGTTCTCGAGTCCTCGCCCCGGACAGCACGCCAAAAACGCATCACCTTTACTGCACTTTTTACATGTAAGTGTGAACTCGTGAATCACGTGACGAGAGTAATGCCTGCTACAAACTGTGCAATTTCGGCAATCCTATAAGATCATTACAAATCACACTGTTTCCGTTGTTTATAACATTCATCTGGGAAAGCCATTTGTGCCAGATTGGTAAGGACGTAAGGTAAATCATTTATATCTACGCCAACACAGGAGAATAGTCTACATCAATTTCTTTCTAAATATGCTAACTGTTCATTGTGATTTTGCATTGTGACCCTCGCACTGAGTTTGCATGTTTTGATGTCCACATATTCTTGTTCAAGAAATTACAGTGGCTGTAGCATTTCTATTGTAAAGAAGTGCCCCAATATTAAATATTAAGTGGACATTTGAATGAAATTTTGTTTGACCAATATTAAACAAGGATTTGATCTATTATGTATACTACATTATGTATTTTAGTAGTGTTGTTCAAAACCATATTATTTCTTGCTTTTGATTGCCCCATTATATGTATTTTAAGTCATTTTAAAGGCTATTGTTTGCCTTAGGTCTAAATTTATTACCACAAAAAAAAAATCTGATTACTTGATTAATCGTCGAAATAATAGACGATTACTCGATTACCAAATTAATTATTAGTGACAGCCCTACAAGTAAGTATAGAAGAACAAAACATCAGCATGGACTAGTGGTAAACAAATAGAGCAAAATGAACTTTGGCAATTGTGGTTTTTATGTGCGCTGAAAAAAAGAGGAGGAAGCGAAAGAGAATATGGACACTGTCATGGCTAGGGAAATGAGGCCAACTTGGCATGCCAATTTTGCAAATGGAGCTTGAGGTAATTAAGATTTAGCGTTGATCAATACGCCATTTCATGTTGCATTTTTATTGGCTATTCAGTGGACGTAGGTCGTAGCAGCAAACACACTGTGAGTTTGACGTCAGAAAATATTCGCTGGCTATCTTTGGTCGCAAGAACGTAACAATGGCCGTCTTTGAACCTCTCACACTGTATGACGTAGGACTACCGGTTAGGAGCCACGACCACAGAAATCGCAAAGATTTGTCATCTTTTGTCTGGGACAGCCCAAAATCGAACAATGTGTGCCGTGCATAAGGAGAGATGACTGACAAGATGATGGCGCCATGGCAGAGAATATGGTGCACAGCAGATCCTAAGCGTCATTGACAAATATCTTATTTTGTGAAAAATGTGCGGTCAGTACACAGCTCCCTATACACAGTGTGCAGAAATCATCACTCTCTTTCCTTCCCTCCCTTCCTTTTCCCTTGTGTTGCTTTTTTTCCTCCCCCCTCTTTTACATCTTATCTGAGTTTATAAACTGGTCCGTTTTCATCTGTAGCCAAAACTATTTACTAAGCAAACTGAAAAGAGTAAGTTGTCTTTATTATTATTTTTGTATAATCTTCATAACTTATAATTGTTAATCTACAAAATGTTTCTCCTTTTTTCATTTCTATATCAGATTAAATCAATTTAAAAATCTTTCGGATAAATAAGCTACCATCGTATTAGCTGGATGTACTTTTGACAGTCATCAAGATCGTTGGTGAAAAGAACATCAACCGTAAAACCTTTACACCTGTGCATGAGGACAATGAACTCTACAATGTTTCTATATAGTGTACAAGAAAGATATGCAGATGCTTTTGCTAAAAATTTCACCACTGTTCTTCTTGCAGTCATAATTCTGTCCATTAATGGAGTGTTTGTATTGACATTTTTCAGGAGTTCAATTTTCTACAATAATCCAAGATACATATTATACATTCACTTGGTTATCAATGATATGCTCATGGTTTTTTTCACTGTAATTCTTTTTGTGATGGCTTATGTATGGCAAAATGTCCCTCTCCCGTTCTGTGTTACACTGCTAATAATAGCCTCAACAACTCATAAGAACACTCCTCTGACTTTGGCCGGTATGGCCATTGAGCGTTACATCGCAATCTGCAAACCACTGCATCATCATCAGATTTGCACAGTGCGCAGGACATGCATCCTTATCTCTCTGATTTGGGGTGTAGGAGTTATACCTGGATTAGCTGACTTGATTCTCCTTTTAATTGTTCGTCCTTTATCTACTTCTTCAAAAGTTACTTCTTGTGGTGCATCAATTCTGTACAGCACAGCATACCATGAAGTACAGTCCAGATTTATAAATGGCCTTTACTCATCTGTTGTGTGGGTAATTCTTGTATTCACATATTGTCGAGTGCTTATTGCGGCCAGGAGATCCACCACTGATAAATCCTCAGCAAAAAAGGCCCAAAGCACCATCCTGTTACATGGAGTACAGCTTCTGCTCTGTATGTTGTCCTACATTACTGCTGTCATAGACAAGATGTTTATCCCACTTCTTCCAGTTGACCGGGCAAGACTAACCTTTTTAAATTATCTTCTAACAAACATTTTGCCACGACTACTTACTCCCCTGATTTATGGTGTTCGAGATAAGCATTTTTACAAACACATGAAGGAACTTTTTTCATACAGATTATTCATTGTAAAAGTTGAATCAATCAAAAATGAGCAAAAAAGGACAACCAGGCATTCAGATGTTTCATAAAAATGCATCACAATTGTTGGTAAAGCATGCATACTGTAATTCTTCATGTAAGTGAACCAGATGAATGTTTTGCCACACAGATGTAAATGTTAAACCTAAGAAAATGTACTGCCATGCTGTTATGCAATAAATTAACAGTGTTCTTTAATTGTAAACAATACTTTTCCATGATTTTTAAAGTGACATAATGAATTTATGTGTTAAAATGGCACTTTAGAAAGTAAAGAAATGTAATAAATGTTTATATTAAAACATACAGTAAATGATTATGAGCAGGCGGACCATAATTACCTGTACACTCCTAAAAATCTTGTGTGGTTTATTTCCTATACAGTTGTATTACCGAAATGTTTCAGCTTAGCTGTGTACAATGAAAATAGTGCAAAGATGTTAGACAAAGTAAAACTATAATCATGCTTCTGTAGTAAATGCAAAATTATCATCAAACGTCAAAAGTACAAAATAAAGTGTAGACAATTCTTTCTTTTTTTTTTTTTTTTGTCTGGTATTTGGTTTTAATAAAATGAATTGTGGAGACCGCTGACTTGCAGCAGTATGTGGAACTAAACATGGTCAGGATGTGTTGTACCGTTTTGTTTAGAACAGGGAAATAGGCTGCAGGCATCATCTTTCCTAAGAAAGTGTCAGGGTCACAATTACCAACCTGATCTTTCAGAGCCATTTCTTGCAATTTAATCAACTCCATTTTGTGATGCAACATTTGCCCACCCGAAGATCTGTTTTGCTTCCTCTGAAAACTTTAAAAACATTTGTGACCAAGAATGGGTTCAGGGCCCGTATTTATCAAGCCTTTCTGAGAATTACTCACAAGAACACTGCTGAGAATTGACCTAAGAGTAAAAAAATTATTGCCTCAAAATCTGCACTTAACAGTTTTCAAGCATTTCAGTTGTAATTTAAGTGAAGTGTAGGACTAGATCTCAAGTCACAATCTTAGAGATGATTCACAATAGCTTGCTGTGCCACAAACAGGATTTTGGATGACGACATTGGCATGGACCAATCATTGAATAGATTTAAGAATATTCTAAGATAAATTCACATTGAATGCTGAAGTTTGGAGGAGTTTACATTCAACACACATTTGACAATAAATAATTTTCAAGAGAATACTGTGGTGAGGGGGGCGTGGTTCAGCGGGAGAGAGAGAAAGGAGGCAAGCAGTACGTAAGTAGGTCAAGTGCAAATGACGAACACCTGTGTCTTGTTGCAGTAAATGGCGTGGAGAGACAGGATATAAGCCGCTGTCGACTGAGAGACGAGAGAGAGGAGGACTGAGGACTCGTACAACGCAACAAGTGGAAAGAGTGATTGCCTGAGTGGAAAGAGTTTGAGAGCTGGTTTAAGCGGAAAGAGTGTTATTGTGATTATAGTTGTTATTGTTGTTGCTGTAGCGAGGCTACGATGAATGCGCTGTGTGTGCGCCTTTTGTTTATTTTTGTTTGGAAAAGTATGAGTTCCAGTCACGCCAACCCCGTCTTCTTCTTCCCATAAAATCATCACACTTGTGCCGAAACCCGGGAGGAAGAAGATTGTCGGGGGCGCCGCCGTCATGCAGTCACCATCGCTGGTAACGGCATTTGCGGACATCATCCATTCGCTCGCAAGTCTGCATCAAGAACACCATGAAGCACTGGTGGGTATAAGGGACGACCAGGAACGACAGTTCCAAGCCCTGGTCCAAGCCCAGCAGGATGACTGCAAGCTGTTCCGGATCTGGATTGACCGGGAGGTTCGGGCCAACACATTGCCAACCTTCACGGCCACTCACGTGCCTCTCAACAAGATGGGGGCGCTGGATGATCCGGAAGCTTTCATCGAGCTATTTGAGAGGTCGGCAGAGGCATGTAGGTGGGCCATCGCTGACTGGTCTGTGCGGCTTATCCCTTTGCTCTCAGGAGAGGCGCAGGTGGCCGCACAGCAATTGCCAGTCCAGAACCTCCTGGTCTATGAAGATCTGAAGCGCGCCATCCTGCAGAGGGTCGGTTGGACTCCGGAACAACACAGACAAAGGTTCCAATCACTGGATCTAGGAGAAACCGGCTGACCCTTCGTGATGGCGCAAAAGCTCCGGGACTCCCTGCCGCAAATGGCTGATGGCCGGGGGAAGCGACGTCACCGAGGTCATCGATAAGGTGGTGCTGGAGCAGTTTGTGGCGCGGCTTCCAAAGAAGACCGCGCAGTGGGTCCAGTGCCACCGCCCGACGTCGCTGAACCAGGCCATCCAACTGGCGGAGGACCAGATGGTGCCGTGCCCCGGGGTCGGCAAACCCCTACCAGCAGCTTCTCTCTCTCTTTCTCTCTTCCCCTGTGTCTTCCTCCACTCCTTCCCCCTCTAAACCTGTCCCACTCCCTAGGTCTCGAGGGGGTTTTCCGCCCCGACCGATACCCCGATGGAGGAGTGGGCCAGCCACAGAGCCGACAGCTAGTCCCAGACCCCTGCCCAGGGGCGGGGATGACATCCAGCTGTGCAGCCACACCTCCCCTTCCTCCACTCTCTCCACACCATCAAAGCCTGATTCAACCAGAGGCATTGGATAATAGCTACATGGTTAAGGTACGGTGCATACACGGGGAGGTGGTGAACTATGCCTTAATGTCGATGGCTATTCAATTTCGGGGACAAAAGCATAATGTAGATGTGGCAGTTAGTCCGCACCTCCGACATGCACTAATTTTGGGGACAAATTGGCCAGGTTTTAGTATATTACTGGGGTATTTATGTGCGGATGTCTCTTGGACAAAAAGGGAGTGGGGAAGGGGTGCGGTCGGTCAGGTGGGAGAACCTGAGCCGGGACCTCTGGGAGCTGAACCAGGGGACCAGAGCGCTCTTGAAAGGAGGATCCTTACGGAGCGTGATGATTTTCCCCTGGAACAGTCCCAGGACGAAACGCTCAAATGCTTTTGAACAGGTCCATACCATCGACGGACAGCTTCTCCAACCTGGTCGACCGCTCTCTTATCCTTATTTTGCTATTTTAAAAGATAAGTTGTATCGAGTGACCCAAGACACTCAGTCAAATCAGGATACAACCCAGCTGTTGATACCAAAAAGCCGTCGGGAAATGATTTTCCAGGCGGCGCATTGTAATCCTATGGCCGGGCATTTAGGACAAGCAGCAACACTTAATCGTCTAATGACCCGATTTTTCTGGCCAGGCATTCATGAGAACGTGCGCAGGTGGTGCGCGTCTTGTCTTGAATGTCAATTGGTGAATCCGCCGGCCAATCCAAAAGCACCATTGTGCCCACTCCCCCTTATGCAGGTCCCCTCCGAACGAATTGGCATGGACCTCATCGGGCCATTAGAACGATCTGCACGGGGGCATCGCTTTGCAGTAGTCCTGGTGGATTATGCAACCCGATACCCAGAGGCAGTGCCCCTCCGCAATATTTCCGCAAAGAGCGTTGCCGGCGCGCTGTTTCAATTAATCTCCAGGGTGGGAATCCCGAAAGAGATTCTCACCGATCAAGGCACAACGTTCATGTCACAGACAATTCGCAAACTTTACGAATTATTGGGCATTAAATCGATCCGTACTAGCGTCTATCACCCACAATCAGACGGTCTGGTGGATCGATTTAATCGCAATATTTACTAACTTTGCATTATGATTTGTTCTCACACATTTTGCAATGCAATGCAAAGACTCTAAAATACTACCACAAACTAGTTAATAAAATATGTAATTAATGGTGAAGTTTCAGACAAACCTTCAATAAACTGCACTGATTTGTCAATTAGTTATAATATTCTCTGTGTTGCTTTGCATTGCAAACATTCCACTGTCATAAAAGTAACAGCAAATGTTGGATCGATGTTTAATACTGAAAAGCTAGTGCGATCTAAGGGCTAATAATTCAAGCACGCCATTAACGTATATTGGTTGATTATTGAGTTATTTAAATGTGTAATTGGATGTTTGTGAATGTAAAAATGTCCATTATATTTTGTGAATCACTTTGTAATTTGTATCTTTTATGTTTCTTTCAGTTTTACAGTAAAGTAAGCACAAAGAAGAACGTGTGAGGGAGCTTTATTATTTCTGTTAACTATCTGTCAACGCTTGGTTTAGAACACCATTGCCAGGACAGAATAATAGCCAAATTTACAGTGACCCAGGGGCAATGACCAACGTACTAAATATTTATAATCTGTGACCTTTCCACAAGCCATAAATAACACATGAGTATCACTGTACCGATTAAACCTCGTATGAGCTTCAGACTGCCCTCAATCCAGAACGGTTCTTCTGCTCAAAGGTAAGTCTAAGACTTCTTAAAAAGGAATAAGCTAAGCCTAGAATAGTTCACTTCTTAAACACTTTCTCCTCTTTCTGATCCAGATCAAAAGAACCGGAAAATGAACTCAACGATCTGGATTGTGGATAGTTTTGAAGAAGCTCTTGCCAAAAACATTGTGATTGTTAGTCTTGGTTTTATCATTAATTTCATCAACGGAATGTTAGTAGTGACCTTTTTTTCTAATCTAATGTTTACAAGAGACTCCAGATACATTTTATACATTCACCTGGTAATCAATGACATGCTCATGATATGTATATCAGTAACTTTATATGTGTTGACCTACACTTCACTTGTTAATGTTTCGTTGTGTTGCATATTGATTGCTCTTGGTTCAACCACCTTTATGATCACTCCTTTGAATCTGGCTGGTATGGCCATAGAACGGTTCATTGCTATCTGTAAACCACTGCATCACTCTCAGATTTGCACTCCACAAAGAACCTACATCTTTATATGCTTGCTATGGGTTTTAGGAGCTATACCTTCTCTGGCAGATATCATTATTTTATTTTCAATCCAGCCCATATCTTTCTTCAGGTCTGTTGTACTTTGCTACCCATTCAATTTGTTCCCTTCCAAAGCCCACAAGGATCGCACCACTGCTTCACAAATTATCTATATGTCTTTGGTGTGGATAATTCTCATTTACACTTATTGCAGAGTCATGTTCACTGCTAGAAAGGCGGCTTCAAAGGGTTCAGCAAAAAAGGCTCGGAGTACGATATTGTTGCATGGCGTCCAGTTACTTCTTTGTATGCTTTCCTATGTCACCCCTGTTTTGGATATGATTGTCACTCCTTTCTTTCCTTTTCACAGAACTAAGATCACTTTCTTTAATTATCTAATCACAAATATTATGCCTAGATTACTGAGCCCATTGATTTATGGGGTGCGAGACCAAAAGTTTATGAAACAAATGAAGGAATACTTTACATGCAGAGTTATTATTGTAAAAATTGTGCCATCAAAATTATTAATTGGCAACATTTTATTTAATAAATAAAATTATTTTTAATTATGACATTTGTTTTATTTGAGATTTGAAAATCTATAAAATGTTTAATGACACTTAAACTTGAAAGTGTATGAAAGCAACTAAATAAGATAAAATATCAAACCATGTGGCATATACAAATAAATGATGAACGAACTTTGCTCAGAACTAACTTCAAATCTCTGAGTCATTTTCCTCAATGTCTTTTAATGAGCCGGTGTTTTGGTGATTTTTAGTGGATGTATAAAATCAGTTCTTCTGAAGTTCACAGTTAATCCCATTAACTATGGGAATTATCCCTTAAGAAATCACAACTACAAATGTTGTCTTTATATTGGACTGTATTGTTTTATCAATTAAAATGTCTTCATAACCAAACTACAATATGTGAAAGCTGCTTCTTAATGTTGATGATAAATAGTAGCCTACTGTATTATGATTATTACTTTTAATAAAATATTGGAGTGTGAATTCTGATCCTTTGTGTTTTAAGTTTACAGTTTTATTGTAGGCTACTATTTTTAACTGATTACTTTCATTTTGTGCTGAGGTTAACAATAGTTTAACGTAGGCCTACACTGTCAGGGTCTTGCTCTGGCAGCTTTGTCTGTGTTGTCTTTGTTTCATGTCTCTATGTTTGTGTTGTGCTTGAACATATGGTTGTGTTTGTGTTGGCCATGTGCTCCTCTGTTCCTGCCTCCTTGTTTCCCTGTACCACGCCCTCTTGTCTTGAGTCCTCGTTTGTCTGAGTGTTGTCACCTGTTCCTCATGTTCTCTGCTCCCTTGTTCCAGTCCTCGTTTACGTGAGTGTGTTCACCTGTTCCTTGTCTAAGTGTTCTCACCTGTTACTCTTGTTAACTCCCCTCATGTGTTGCCAGTTCGTTAGATGCTGTACTACATAGTTTGTTTCATGTGACTAAAGTCTACAGTGTTTTATTTGTAGAAGTATTTTGTGCTTTAGTTCTGCCATCGGTCCTGTCTGTCTTGTCTTCTGTGTCTCTAGTTACAGTCCTGCTAGCAGTGTCCCTGACTGCTTACACTCTTGGCTTTGGAGGAAGCCTGGTGCTGAGCCTGAGATCCCTGAGTGCCTTGCTGGAGTACTTACAAGTTCCTGTCTGGCTACTGCTAGTATTGAGGTCTCATTCTGCTCAGCCATTTCTACTCTCCAGCTTCCAGTCATCTTGCTAGTTACAAGTGCTGCTCGGCTAGTTGCTACGGCAGTCATTGTGTCTCATCCCTGCCTATTGGACTGTTCACCTCTCCCACCACGTTCTGTCATCTGTCTGCTGTTTGTCAATAAACCTGTTAACACTCGTTCTGCATTTGAGTCCTCCTTCATAGACCCGTGACATACACTTGGTTGAGATTTATCTGACAAAATTGTTTTGCAAAAAAGGGGTAAAGCTGCAGGTTTTATTTTACTGTGCAAACAATGCATAGAAAAACAAATAGCTCAGGAAAAAAAGCATTCCTTAAATACAACATAATCAGCTATTAATATTTAGTTGGTAGTGTTTTTGCATGTGTTCATAATTTCTTTGTGTGACAGCCTGGGCAAAAATTATGTCTGCACAATTTGACATTTTTCAGTCATGTAACTGCTCTAAAACACACAGTTTGTGGATCCAAATGCATTGTTTATATAAGGGGTAGTCCAAAATCAAAAATCCATATAACAGGCATAGGGTCAAACACACAAGCAAACAATCCAAATAGACAACAGCACAGCAGGAAAACACAGACAAAGTAATGGGGAAAAAAACAGGCAAACGAGTCAAAACTATAAATACGAGACTGAAAAAACAGGGGTGTATTCCAGAAAGCAAGGTTAACTTACCGTCAGATAAACCTTGAACTCTTGGTTGGTTAACCCCAAACTTGCTTACTCTGGGTATGTCGGTTCCAAAACACCTATGTTGAGTTAGTTTAATCAACCTCCTATTGGTAACCCAGAGTTAATGCGCGCGCACGACGAGTACATAAAGACATTTTCAATGGATCGCCGATTTCAGGAGTCACCATGGAAACCAAGGGAGAAAAAAAGCGAGCTACATACGATACTTCGGTGAAACTGAGTTGGAGGTTTTAATGCTTGCTTATGAAGACTATAGCCTAAGCCCATTATAAAAAAAAGCAATACTGCTGCATCAGCAAAAGAAAGTTGGCTTGGCAAATAATAATGGACAGAGTAAATGCTTGAGTTTAGAAAATTATAAATTGGGAATTTTCCCTTTGTGAGTCACAATGAAAGGGGAAAATAGCCTACCCCATTTATAATTTGTGACGCAAAAATTCTTTGGGGGCATGTAGTAAAAATAGACAAGTATTTACTTGTTGGCCTCCATACATTTCTTAATATTACAGTAGTAATGCACATAATTGGCTAGTTATATGTTGGCTTCTAGTTTTATCAGGTGTAATCCTTCTGGAGCCAGAAGAAGTGTGAGCCAAGTCAAAATGAAACACAAAAACATTCTCCAGCAAGGTAATATTTTCTAAACTTACTAAACTTGTTACTGACATTTAATACTAATTTAGTATTGAATGTAATTTAGTTTTCTATGTAGCCAATAGAAAGAAGGGAGCTGAGGAGCTGGCACTGTCCCTTAATAAAGGGCGACCTGTGGTCGATGGGATTCCAGGGGGCAGTTCGTCAGACTCAGCTACCAAGACAAGTGGCTTAGTAAAATGTAGGTGTACCATATTAATACTTATGATTTATTGATGTTTACACTGTTTTTGTCAGTGTTTTAATAAATAAAATCATCAACACTGTCACCATTTTAAAAAGGCATTTTGAATTCATTTTACAGTCATTGATTCACTTGTGCAGTATGCATGCTGCTTTTACTGCATATGCTGTATACTGTAATCGTATTACTAGTACTTAGATGCTCCTAATGTCCTTCTTTATTAGTTGTATTTGCTTAAGAATATACATTGAGAATTGAATATGCATGATTATCATGGTTTAATTATCTTGCAGTTGCTGATGGCCACATTGTTGGATCCTCCTGCAACACCACACTCTGTCACAGTTGTAAGTGATTATTGTCTTTAGGTTTCTGTTTGCTAGACCAAGCATCCTTCCTTATTTTCACTGTAGGATGATGATGAAGAGACCACTTCTGCTGTGACAGAAACAGAAAATGTGGGGAGGCCCATAGAGGTATGATGCATAAAATGCATTCCCCCTTTTTTACACAAGAGAATAAATAAATTGTCATTGTCATTTTACAGAATATGGCAGGAGATTTTAATACAGATGAGGGTCCATCTACCTCCACACAGAATCTTAGCAGTGTAAAAAATGTTCTGCAGTTCTCCTTCCTCATTTAAATATTTGGTTTGTATTACAGACTTTTTCAGTCTTGCTAGTTGCCTGCCAAAAAGCTGTATAAGGTCCACCTTTAAAAGCAAATCAGAAAAAGTGACATGGAGATGGACCTTATACAGCTTCAAATGGAGGAGAAAAGGCTTAACCTAAAAAAGGCCAGACTTGAAATTGAATTGCTGGAGCACCAGCTTAAGGTGGGAAACAGCATGTGAACATTAATCTGTCATTTGTTGTTGAATGAAATCTAAAGCAATAAATACAAATGTCTTTTGTTACAGGAAATAAAGAAACAATGAACAACACTTGACTGTTAACTGGTTTTAATTCAAGTGATTTTGGCAAATCATGTCTTGTACCACCCTGCCATCTCTTTGGTCTACTGGGTTCACTGGGGGTTCCTCTTGGCCACATATTACCTAGTTAGTGGGGACCAGTGATGAGGGTGATTTAATGGTTTAAACACCCAAACATTTAGCATCCAAAAAATCTATTGTCACCTGCACATTGATGCTATGCATTGACTTCCTATATACATAGTCTCCTTCATTGATGGAAGGAGCTTTCATGTGAATGTGGGTTCCATCAATGCACCCAATCAAATTTGGGAACCCTGAAATTGAAAGTTATATAATTAGAAACATTTAAAATTCTTGTGACTGTATAAAGTAGGGTTAGATTAAGTAGTGCTATATGTAACTAAAATGGTCAGGGGACGCCATGCTCTGTCACCTCTCTGAAACAAACTAACCCTGGAACATAACCTGCTCCGGAGCAGGTTAAGTTCAGAGAGTGAGTTGCTATGACTACTAACATACCCTGAAAGTTACCTCCGTTTTTGGAACCGAAAGTTGAGGTTATCCGCTTACTTACTCTTAAACATACCCGGGTATGTCACATAACCTGCTTTCTGGAATACACCCCAGGCGTATAGGGTGAGTAAAGGGAAATGCAGTTCTTGATTGAATGACAATGGTCCAGGGAGGAGTGCCCTCTAGTGAATATCAAGGGCTTATTCATTGTGTTATTATCACAAATAAAACAACTGACTCCAAGCACAACTATGCATGCAATATGCTTACAAAATCTTTATAAAAAAAAATATATATATATATATTTAAATTAAAGGATGAAGATGTCAATTTTCCTTAGGTGGCCACTTTTGTGCTACAATTTAGGCTGAAAAAAAAATTAATCAACCTCCTGTCACTGTTTTTGATGAGATCAGTCTGCATAAACAAACATGTAAAACCACTGACAACACCATAGAAACTCCATAGCAATGTGCTAAAACAGTTTGCATGTCAGATGCGATTTCAAATGCTTGCTGTTATATTGCATTGATGTCATGAATGCAAATAGATGATCCTTGTGGGTAACTAACAGGCTTAATATTCATGATCTCTGCCCTTTCCAAAAACCATAAATAAAGTAGCACTCTACTAATTAAAACTGATGTGAGCTTCATTCTTCCCACAGTCCAGAACCGTTTTTTCAGCTCAAGGTAAGTCAAAACAGTTTAGGTGTAATTTAAATGGTTAAAAATTTTAGGGGAATTACAAATTAGGGGGGTATTGATTATGAGATAAGCTCCTGGAAAATGTAAACCTCAGTTATCATTAGTTATTTCTATCATCTGCTTGGACTAGATACAATATGTGCACTTTTTAACCACTGTCCTGTTTTCTCTCTCAGAAATGAACTCAACGATCTGGTTTGTGGATAGTTTTGAAGAAGCTCTTGCCAAAAACATTGTGATTGTTAGTCTTGGTTTTATCATTAATTTCATCAACGGAATGTTAGTAGTGACCTTTTTTTCTAATCTAATGTTTACAAGAGACTCCAGATACATTTTGTACATTCACCTGGTAATCAATGACATGCTCATGATATGTATATCAGTAACTTTTATGTGTTGTCCTACGCTTTACCATTTATTAATGTTTCGTGGTGCTGCATATTGATGACTCTTGGTTCAACCACCTTTATGATCACTCCTTTGAATCTGGCTGGTATGGCCATAGAACGGTTCATTGCTATCTGTAAACCACTGCATCACTCTCAGATTTGCACTCCACAAAGAACCTACATCTTTATATGCTTGCTATGGGTTTTAGGAGCTATACCTTCTCTGGCAGATATCATTATTTTATTTTCAATCCAGCCCATATCTTTCTTCAGGTCTGTTGTACTTTGCTACCCATTCAATTTGTTCCCTTCCAAAGCCCACAAGGACAACACCACTGTATCACAAATCATCTATATGTCTTTGGTGTGGATAATTCTCATATTTACTTATTGCAGAGTCATGTTCACTGCTAGAAAGGCGGCTTCAAAGGGTTCAGCAAATAAGGCTCAGAGTACGATATTGTTGCATGGTGTCCAGTTACTTCTTTGTATGCTTTCCTATGTCACTCCTTTTATGTACATATTTATTACTCCTTTTTTCCCTGTACACAGAACTAAGATCACTTTCTGTATTTATCTGCTCACAAATATTATGCCTAGATTACTGAGCCCATTGATTTATGGGGTCCGAGACCAGAAGTTTATGAAACAAATGAAGGAATACTTTACATGCAGAGTTATTATTGTAAAAATTGTGCCATCAAAATTCTGATTATATATAGGCCCTATGGGCATGATCGATTAGTCAACTAAAAGAGACTGTTGCTGTTAGTCGACATAGTCATTTAATTTTTTCTTGTTGCACATAGTATATGTTTTGAAGAGTGTATATCTGGAGCGGAAAACAAAATAATTTAATTTTACCTCAGACTTTGCGATCGTTTATTTCCGTGTCACTCGCGGACTCAGAGAAATGTCCATACGGAAGACAGAGGTAGCATTTTCACTTAAAACAGAAAAGTTTTGTTTTGGCAGATAACAATTAAGCTTGCTAATAGGCTATCCAATATCAATATTGTTAAAATATTGACTAGGCCTATGGTCCTGCACTGCCCATTGATTTTGTTGATTTTAATATATTGATGTATGTTGATTAAATGAATGCTTAAGTAGAAAGTTCAATGATCATAATAGGAGACAAGCACATGCAGCACATGGGGCTTATTTTTTTTATTTTTTTTTATGATTCATAAATTGCTATTTCGACTAGTTGGCAACAAAATTTTCTTTTAAAAGTTATGGAAATTAGTTGTGGCCTAATACAGGCCTAATACGTCTTTCTATGAAGCTACATGACATATTGTTGAATGCAATGACTTAAGTGTGTGGCTTAAAAGTGCAAATAGTTTATTTTAAAATGTTTTAAATAGTGCATTTTGAGGGCTCCAGTATATATGTATCCAAAAATTATTTTTACTGCATGAAACAACATGTTCCTCTTTAACAATCTGTTTATCCCCCATTTATAATAGGCTAAATATTGTTAGGGTATACAGTCAAAGACCCAGAACCAGATATGAAGAATGAAGACCCGGAGTCAGAATTATAAAAAATTAAAGAAAAGTTTTACTGAAGATAGTTTGCAGTTTCATCAGCAGAAGTCAGCTTCAAGACTCACACAGGAGTTCGTAGGCCGGAAGGAAATATACTGGAAAGAATACATTTTAATACAACAATTAAAGTTCGATATAGTAACGCTCATAGCTTGACCATATGTCCAGCGAAGGATCATATGTGTTGGACATATGTGTTCACGACGCCTTTAGGATCCATAAACCTTTCTTCTGATACCAGAGAAAGAGACAAATGGCCTTGTGTAGTACGTGGTGGTTTACGTGTCAGATGTGTCCTGCTCGTGGCAGGACTGGAATGCACCTAAAAGAAGCTGGTTACATCAGCATGCATTTAAGAATATAATTTTCACAAGCATAAGTAATATACATATATAGATAAATGATTAGGTGATATTGAATATACTTGATTACTGATTTTATAAAAGAAATATATAAGCATTCAAAAGGATATATGATTATATATATATATATATATATATATATATCGTTGAAGAGGCAAGGGATTTTGACCACCCCTTCAATATGACCAGATCATTTCACTTAAATCAGAGATCAAGAAAGTATTGTGCTATAAATCTGAATGAATTATCCTACAGAAAGCATGCCTGTATAAATCAAATGGATGTGTATATCTGTAAAATATTGGACGTTGTTTTATTGAGCTAGGCCATAAAGTAACTGCAGACTCCAATCACTGTTAGTGGCCTAATCTTGAGAAAACGTCAAATGGTATAAAAAACATAATTATTCATATAATTAATAAATATACCTTACTGCCCGACATATTAATAGAGATGTGTTCTTTTTTTTTATCACAAAAGATTGTGCATGGCCCGCATGGAGGTAAGCGCTGTTAAAAAAGTATCAGTTTTCACGTGACAGGGAACGTCGACACCACCTTGGATGATATTTTAAACCTGATAAATGGCAGAGTAAAACTTTATCTACGAAAATTTGGAGAATTATTTAGATTCATCTTATCTGACCAATTTGACATAAACGCCTGGTAGCTGTTCAATTCTAGCCGCATATTCCAATATTATCTTAGCAGCGCCGTCGTGATGTTTTTCTGAGGGATATGTTATGTTGACCTCACCTGAGGAATCTCATCGTCAAGTGACAAGAGCTTTCGAAGAGACAATAAACAATTAATAATTATCTTTAAAATAACTCATTATGTCCGAATGTGCGCGAGAGCCCAACTTGGCCCACAATGTCAGGAACACAACAAAAACAGAAACGAAAGTGAAACCCACTCCTCTAATAATAATAATACTAACAGTACTTTTAGAATGTAACTTGTAAATAATAAATTCCACTATCATTTAACTTCATCACAGTGGTAGTGAAGAATTGGATGTTTAAAATGGGACCACCCTACCATACATGACCATGAGAAACACTTGAGACCAGATGTACCATTCGCACTTGCTGACATGAACCCATTTATTGTTTTTTTTTGTTTTGTTGCATTATGTGTTCCTATGCATTTCCTTACGGCCTTAAGTTCAGTGTTCAATCGTGAAGTGGCCATTTAAGATGCTTTTCAGGTGTCTCACACAAGTGTGAAACCAAGGAGAACCCCTTCATCCATTGCAATCTGTCCAGACACCATTGGAGGTGACAGGATTGGTGAAGAAGGGACAGATTATGGGGAAGGTGCCACAGAAGCAGAAGATTCTCCATGAAGGAATGACATGTCAACTGACCAAGTCACAAAGGCCCAGATTGACTATGAACTCTGCTCACATTCTACATTGAACAACCGGTAGAATACCTTAATGCATTCATCCACCTGCTGAACTCAAACTACAAACACCTGGTGTGACTGGGTGTTCTGCGGGTAAACACAGCCCTCTGAAGGTTTCTAACGCTGCTAACATTGCAAAACGACAATTTTTGAGCTACATCTCAAAGACTACAACAAACGTCTAACAGAGTGATCATCAGTAAGGGCTCATCTGAATTTGACCCACGGCGTCAAGGAGGGATTAACTGTAAGACTTGAGAAATTAGAAAATACCGGACAGTCTGGTTGAGGAGCAACCACTCCCCGAAAAGACAAAGGAAACTTAACATTTAAACTCTCACTTGAGAAACTAGCATCCCGAGTCAATCACCTCCCCCACCTCGTCTCTCTCTCATGCTGAGATCACCAGAAATTCACCCAAAAACCTATATGGTTTTATGTGAATCATTATCATACAGTATTATACATATTTGGTATCATTTGAAATGTTTCAGTGCAACAAGTACAAAGGTCTCATTCTCCACAGAAGCAAACCAAAAGGTAATAAAGTTTTTAAGAAATATCTTGCTTACAGAGGAGGGTGTGTCTTCCAGGCAAATGGCATCCTGCTTCCAAAAGGTGTAAACTCAGAATGCAAATTCCCATTGTTAGCAAATGTTTCCATGTGAAAGAGGTTTCTGTCTCGGTCTGCATTTGTAATGAGATCGGTCCATAGTGTCTTTCATGTATGTATTTCTTGAGTCAGGTACATCTTTTACTCTTTATCTCTGAGAATTTGATGTTATTGTATTGATTATTTTTGAACTGATTATGAAATTACATACATAATAAATTGTAACATTTTATTTTATTCTGACTTACGAATCCTTTTAATCTACTTGGGAAAATAATTTTAGAGTATGTTGCCGCAAATCTGCATTGGATTAGTGACAGATTCCAGTTTTGAGTGGAGCATAGGGCACACCAACTGCGATTTTAGAGTTCAGTCTAATATTTGGCACTAATTCAAGTGTAGGTTTGTAAAGGCCTCTATCATACACCCGGCGCAATGCAGAGTTATGTGCGAGGTTGCGAGTGTGTTTTGCTAGTTTCAGCCCGACGCAGTTATCATTTTCACGTCCTGCGCCACGTTGTTTAAATAGCTAATGCATTTGTGCCCATTTGTGCGCCCATGGGCGTGCTGGTCTGAAAACGAGGTGTGTTCAGGCGCATTGTTGGCGTGTTGCTATTTTGAGGCAACTGAAATAGACTGCTCCATTGACAAACTGAAACCTGGTCTAAAGTCAATGCCACAATAATTTTTTGTTATTTAAAGAGCGTGTTAGTAATGTGCGCCTATAGGCGGGTCCACAACGCACGTTCACTCTGCTTATTAAACAAACAGGGACGCGCAGCAGAACACAAACATGCCAAATAATAGAAATAAATGATTGTGTACATAAAGATATGGTGGAATCTGGCTTGTCCCATAGATGGTCTGCTTGCACACTTTAACCTCGCGCACGAGCAGATCAAAGTCTGTCATGTAAATAGCAAACCGCCATGGCGCGAACGCAACTGGCATTTGAAGGGAATGAAAGATTAGACTCTGATTGGTTTATTGCATGTAAAGCCTAAAACACACCAATTACTCATTAAGAGAATAGGGACAACCATTTTAGACCATGCGCCTGGTGCACCGACCATTTTTCCCATCGTTAAATTAGCAAAAGTTGATTCGGACACGCCCTAAGTGCACTTACGCCCTGTGCTTTAGACCATGCGCTTAGATCATTAAAATAGGGGCCTAAAAGGGAATTTCCGTTTAGGACAGCAAAATGCTGCTCAACCAACCTAAATAGGGTGAGTATTACCTCTGTTCAATGTAATGTTACTTTAGTTAAGTGTACGTGGGAAACCATGGCATGACCAAACCAAAGCTACTATCAGAGAAGTAATCTTGGTTGCCTTATATCTGTTAGTAGTGGTCATGACCTCTATCTAAAGAAAACGTTACTTTAATTCAAGTGTATAGAACCAAGGGGGCTATACAAAATATCTTTGATTGTGTAAGCATGGTCACACAGGAAAAGAAGTAGAACGAACTGGCTTCAAACACTTTGTTCCCTTCAGAAAACTACAAACAGGGAGCCCTATAAGGGAAGCACCAGCAACCGGGAAGCAGATATGGCAGCAACATAAACTTTTAAAGAGGAGGTTGCCATGTTGTCATCTAATAGATGCTGCAAGAAACTCAATACTGTTGGCACAGTACAGTGAACTGGGTCAATTCCTTGATCCCCGCACCAAGAAGAAAATATCCTCCAACGAGCAGCATAAAGCTTTCGTGTTGAAGGAGCCCTAGCTTTGCCGATAGTGTTCACTACTGCTGGTTCACAATCCATTAACTGTGATCTGGACACAGGGGCCAAACCCAGAGCTGAAGACGAGTTGAATCCGGGTGCCAAACACGGCCATGGATCTGAGAAAGAAGATCCCATCTGATGGGAAGCTGCCATGGTTTGCCTTGTAACAGACTCAGAAGGAGAGGAAACCATTGCCTGGCTGGCCAGAGGTGCCACTAAAAGCACCCTGTGTGGTTACACCTATACAGTGTAATGTTTCCCACAGAAGTGGAAATGGAGGGAACGCATACAACAGGCAACTCGGCCTCTCGTGGACCACCAGCGGCAATGAGTGGTCATTTCCGATGCAAACAGGTCGATCTCTGCCTTGCCAAACCGTTGCCAAATCAACTGTACTACATCCGGGTAAAGTCTCCATTCCCCCGGGAGCAGTAGATCCCTGGACAGAGCACCCGCCACTTGATTGTAGAATCCCGTAAAATTAACTGTCCTTAATGAAGCCAGCCGGCCCTGAGACCATGTGTGGATCTTGCGAGTTACCTGTAAAGACGCAAGAGACCTGGTGCTGCCTTGATGATTCAAATTAAAGACCATCGACGTGTTGTAGGACCGGACAAGCACATGACGACCCATCAGGTTTGGTAAGAAGTGTTGTAGAGCTAAGTACACTGCCTTCAACTCCAGTGCTGCGTTCCAGTCCAATATTTTCACACCCTTCACTTGCTAACTTCCCTCTGTCTCATTCACTCGGATGTACGTCATGCTTACGTTGCATGAGTGCCCACTACTGGCGGAAACTGCAATGGGCTGAACGTCCTAAGCCCTTGATCCCTTGGGATCAGCTATGGAGTTGATTTATTATTAAAACATTTTTTGCCCTTTAAGGATTTGTTTAATGCAGCATCCTAATGTATATAGATGTGTTTGGGTTGTTTTAAATAAACAAATAATATATCAAAGAGTTGTTTGTGGTGGTGGTGATTAGACAAGATCTGCTGTGACGTCACAATCGTGTTGAATTGTGGTATATGGAGCTGCCAGAAGTGCACATATGAAGTAGACTCGCTCCCTCGGTCAAAATCGAGGGAGCGAGGGTCTGTCCATATAAACTTCCCTCGTCCACTTCACGAAGTGGAGCACACTTCAAAATGGCGGCAGGGATTCCCCCGAGGGGAAGTGCTTAGGGAAGTTCGCAAGTGCGTGTCTAAACGTGGACTGGAACACAGCACATGGACTTTGATATGTTCTAAGGCCTTCCTGGGTGACCAGTGACCACCAATTCCCCTCTGGTTCCACATTGCCCACCATCCTGTTAGTGAAGCATCAGTAGTGATCACTTCCTGATGAGAGGACACCAACCCTAGTGGCACTCCAGCTCTCAGAAATGTTACTCAGACATTGATTAGCTTGCTCAGGTGTGTTTAATTAGGGTTGGCGCTAAACTCTGCAGGACGGCACTCCAGGATCGACGTTGCCTATCCCTGCACTACTGCCTCTGGCGGTCAGTAGAGATGAAACAGAACCAGAATAGCACTCAGAATTGCAGAAAGACAACAAACTAGATTTTGAAATGAGAGACTGAACAAACCAGGCTTATATAGGGTGAGTAAACAAGGTAATGAGCAGCAGCTGAATGCAATCACACATGAGTCCGGGCAAAGGATTATGGGAAATGCAGTTCTTGATTGAATGACAATGGTCCAGGGAGGAGTGCCCTCTATTGGATATCAATGGATTATTCATTGCATTATTATCACACAAAAAAACAACTGACTCTAAGCACAACAATGCATGCAATCTGCTTACAATATCTTCAACTAATTTTTACTAATATTTGAATAAAGGATGAAGATGTCAATTTTCCTGAGCCGGACATAACTTCTGGCGACTATTGTGCTTCGTGAATAAAATCAATCTCCTGTCACTGTTTTTCATGAGATCAGTCTGCATAAACAAACATGTACATTTAATTCCTGCTTTGAAACCACTGAGAACACCCTAGAAACTCCATAGCAATGTGCTAAAACAGTTTGCATGTCAGATGCGTTTTCAAATGCTTGCTGTTATTCTGCAATGACGTCATGAATGCAAATATTAGATGATCCTTGTGGGTAATAGGCTTAATATTCATGATATTTGCCCTTTCCACAAACCATAAATAGCAAAGTAGCACTCGACTAATTAAAACTCATGTGAGCTTCATTCTTCCCACAGTCCAGAACCGGTTTTTCAGCTCAAGGTAGGCCAAAACAGGTTTAAGTGTAATTTGAATTAGAAATTAGGGGGGTTTTGTTTATGAGATAAGCTCCCGGAAAATGTAAACCTCAGTTATCATTAGTTATTTCTATCATCTGCTTGGACTAGATACAATATGTGCACTTTTTAACCACTGTCCTGTTTTCTCTCTCAGAAATGAACTCAACGATCTGGATTGTGGATAGTTATGAAGAAGCTCTTGCCAAAAACTTTGTGATTGTTAGTCTTGGTTTTATCATTAATTTCATCAACGGAATGTTAGTAGTGACCTTTTTTTCTAATCTAATGTTTACAAGAGACTCCAGATACATTTTATACATTCACCTGGTAATCAATGACATGCTCATGATATGTATATCAGTAACTTTATATGTGTTGACCTACGCTTTACCATTTGTTAATGTTTCGTGGTGTTGCACATTGATTGCTCTTGGTTCAACCACCTTTATGATCACTCCTTTGAATCTGGCTGGTATGGCCATAGAACGGTTCATTGCTATCTGTAAACCACTGCATCACTCTCAGATTTGCACTCCACAAAGAACCTACATCTTTATATGCTTGCTATGGGTTTTAGGAGCTATACCTTCTATGGCAGATATCATTATTTTATTTTCAATCCAGCCCATATCTTTCTTCAGGTCTGTTGTACTTTGCTACCCATTCAATTTGTTTACTTCCAAAGCCCACAAGGACAACACCACTGTATCACAAATCATCTATATGTCTTTGGTGTGGATAATTCTCATATTTACTTATTGCAGAGTCATGTTCACTGCTAGAAAGGCGGCTTCAAAGGGTTCAGCAAATAAGGCTCAGAGTACGATATTGTTGCATGGTGTCCAGTTACTTTTTTGTATGCTTTCCTATGTCACCCCTTTTATGTACTTATTTATTAATGCTTTTTTCCCTGTACACAGAACTAAGATCACTTTCTGTATTTATCTGCTCACAAATATTATGCCTAGAATACTGAGCCCATTGATTTATGGGGTCCGAGACCAGAAGTTTATGAAACAAATGAAGGAATACTTTACATGCAGAGTTTTTATTGTAAAAATTGTGCCATCAAAATTCTGATTATATATAGGCCCTATGGGCATGATCGATTAGTCAACTAAAAGAGACTGTTGCTGCAGCTAGTCGACATTGGAAATAGTCATTAACATTTTTCTTGTTGCACATTTTGTTTTGAAGAGTGTATATCTGGAGTGGAAATCAAAATAATTTCATTTTACCTCAGACTTTGCGTTTATTTCCTTGTCACTCGCGGGTTGACTAACGTTAATAAAGTGAACGCTTAAGTTGAATGAATGATCATACTGCGAGTCGAGACAAGCACATGCAGCACATGGGACCTGTTTTTTTTATGATTTATGAATTATTTAGGGTATTTCAACTAGTCAGCTACAAAAAAAAAATCCAAACATTAGGGAAATAAGTTGTGGCCTAATACAGGCCTAATACATTGTGTCTGATACATTACATATTGTTGAATGCAATGACTTTTAAGTGTGTGGCTTAAAAGTGCAATTGGTCCTACATTTTGAGGGGCCTAGATATGTATCCAAAAAAGATTTTTACTTTGTCTCATGTTGCATGTTGCATGAAACAACATGTTCCTCTTTAACAATCTGTTTATCCCTTTTATAATAGGTTAAATATTACCAGATAAATTAATTTAAAGCAGAGATCAAGATAGTATTGTTCTACATCTGAATTAATTATCCTACACAAAGCATGCCTGTATAAATCAAATCGATGTGTAGGTCTATATCTGTAAAATATTGGACGTTGCTTTATTGAGCCAGGCCATAAAGTAGCCTACTGCAGACTCTATATCACTGTTAGAGGCCTAATCTTGAGAAAGCTTCAAATGTTATAAAAACACATTATTCATATAAATTAATAAATATACCCTACTGCCCGACATACTGATTGAATATATATATTTTTTTAATCACAAACGATTGTGAATGGTCCATCCAGGTAAGCGCTGACTGAAACTGAACACGTGACAGGGAACGTCGGCATCGCTTTGGATGATATTTTATACCTGATAAATGGCAGAGTGAAACTTTATCTACGAAAATTCGGAATATTACTTAGAATCGTCTTGACCAATTTGAGATAAATGCCAGGTCGCTTAGCCAGCCCTGTCACTTGTTTCTTGTGCATTCTTCCATTCTAGCCACATATTCAGTTATTTCAATGGATTAGCAGCGCCGTCGTGTGGTTATTCTGAGGTAGATATGTTATGTTGACCTCACCCGAGGAATCTCATTCTCATCATCTAGTGACAGGAGCTTTCGAAGATACAATAAACAATTAATAATTCTCTTTTTAATAACTCAATATGGATGAATGTGCGCGACAGGCCAAGTTTCACAATGTCAGGAACACAACAAAAAGAGAAACGAAAGTGAAAGCCATTACTCTGAATCATATTAGGCGACTTTCTGTTTTGACAGAGGAAGCAAACGGCAAACTCCGCTGAAAGGTAAATTATTGAAAATGTTCCTTACTCGTTACAATAGCTCGTTATAGAATTATTCAGTTGTCATATTTATGAGTTCGTCACTGGTCACATTGCTGTTTGCTAATTTATCCTTGAAACTGTCAATGCATTGTTTACACCCAGTGTTTAACATTTATTTTTACAACATATTGGACACGCACCATAATAATACTAAGTTTTAGAATGTAATATGCATGGTACATGAATATGGAACTCAATTAGTAGCTACCATGGTATCTGACACATTACTTCCTTGTAAATATAGTAGCCTACCACTGATAATGATTTGTCATTCTTACAGAAAAATGGCTCAGGCTGATATTGACGAGGGATTATATTCTCGACAGCTGTAAGTGCATTGTAAAATATTCTTACGTGATTCCTTATCTTGGTTTCCCCATATTGATTTATTGATTTTTTTGTGTGTTTTTTTACTTTATCGTTGGAAGTTTCAGTTTACTTTAGTAATCATACTGAAATACTAAATGAAGGGTTCTTGAAACTGAATGCTTGTATTATACTTCCAGTGAAAAAAAAAAGTGCATTGTACTTCTTACAATTTCATTTAGACATTAAAGATTTATATTTTTGCAGATCCCTCGGATTTCAGAAATTTGTTTAATGGAATGGACACCTAATGTATCAGCTGTAATGTTGTCTAAATCGTTTTTTTGAGGTCAGGTTACTTAGTTAGTTTGAGGAATTCCAGTTCTGTATTTTCGGTTGCTTTATGAAAAGTTACACCTATTCCAACTAGAAGGGGGGGGGGGGGGGGGGGGGGGGGCGGGGGGGGGGGGGGGGGGGGGGGTTGGGTTGTATTCCTATAAGCAGCTGTGTCTTGTTAATAAAAAAGAAACATTTTCTCCAATTCTAAGTTGCTTACTTTCATGTGAAAAAAATCTCATACATTATTTAAATGTGCAAAATATACACATTGTTGCAGTATTTGTTATATTTAATTTATGCTTATTTTAATTTAGATTAAAAACCCTATAAACATATATATGTATTTACTCTGTTACACAAAATAAGTTCATTTTAAATGGCAACCTCAAATGTTTTAAATAATAAATCAGCATGTAAGGAAATTTCACTTTATCTCACAACAGGTATGTGATTGACCATGATGCAATGCGTCGCATGGGAAAGGCTGATATCCTCATTGCTGGAATGCGAGGTCTTGGCGTGGAAATTGCCAAGAATGTGATTCTGGCTGGAGTTCGATCAGTCACCGTTCAGGATGAGGGTGTGGTGGAGTGGAGAGATCTGTCTTCTCAGGTAATGACCTTTTAATGCAATTAAATGAAAAGTTCATCCAAAAACTAAGTAGTCTGACAAACCATCAAAGAAGACGCTTCAAAGATGCTCAGAGATGCTGTTTTTTTATGCAATGAAAATGAACGGTGATGTGTGCATTCAGACATGGTCCCTCAAGAACCATTTTGCCAAATGTAATGTAAACGTTGTCAAACGTTATTTGTTTTTGCGTGTCGTGTGACCAATAACCGTGTGATGCATTTGTGATGCATTCGCAATTAAATGCAACTGCAAATGAGATTTGAGAGCTTAGTGCAGCGGTTGATTCATTTTTATTTCCTACAAAAGAGCCACTCCCCTTTTGTGTTCCATGGAAAAAAGCTAGTCATATTTGCAAATATGCCATTCATTCATCCATCTTCTTCCGCTTATCTGGGGCCGGGTCGCGGGGGCAGTAGTCTAAGCAGAGATGCCCAGACTTTCCTCTCCCTAGACACTTTGCAATTTGCACATATGTAAATGCTTAATTTAGTTGTTATTGTAAGACCTTTACAAAGGATAAATTATATAATCTCTTTTGTCTTCAGTTTTACCTAAAAGATGCTGATCTGGGTCAGAACAGGGCCTTGTGTTCTGAGAAGCAGCTCTCTAGTCTGAACGTCTACGTTCGAGTGTCTGCGTGGACTAACAAACTCAACGAGGACTTCCTCAGCAAGTTCCAGGTGAGTTATGATCCTGTCTCATATGTCCATGCAATAATAATAATAATAATAATAATAATTGACTTTGAACCTATTTCTCATTTTGTCTTATTTTATGTGTTTATTACAATAGGTAGTGGTGCTCACAAATTCACCTTTAGAAGAGCAGCTACGTGTGGGAGCGTTTTGTCACTCAAACAATATAAAGTTTATTGTGGCTGACACCAGAGGGCTTTGTGGGTAGGCTGGATCCCGTTATTAAATAAAATATGTCAAAATGGTTAAAATAGTGCTTAATCATATTCTGATTTCTGTGTTTGGTTTGCAGGCAGTTGTTCTGTGACTTTGGCGAATCGTTTGAGGTCAGAGACACAAATGGAGAAACTCCAGTCTCAGCCATGATTGCTCATATCAGCAAGGTGACACGTGACTAAAATCACATTTTCACTTTCAGTTTGGTCCTCTTAAAAGGATACTCACACTCACGTTCCAAATCTATAATACTTTCATTTATCTTCGAAATACAAATAAAGTCATCTTTAATGCAATCTGAGAGATTTCTGTCCCTCCAATGAAAGCAAAATTTTGACAGAAGGGACAGAAATTTAATTAAAAATATCTTCACATGTTTCAAAGATGAACAAATTCTTATGGATTTGTAAGACATGACAGCGAGAAATTTATGGCAGATTTTCACTTTTTCATTTTCAAAACAAGTTGACCAAAATTTATTATTTTTTATTTAATTATTATTATTACAATTGACCTGTCAATAATTCTTTTTTTTCTTCCTTTTTACTATCCTTTAATTAATTAATTTGAGCTTTAAAATGTAACATTTTCCATCATAGGAGAATCCAGGCATAGTGACATGCACAGATGAAGAGAGGCATGAGTTCACTGATGGCATGTTTGTGACGTTTTCTGAGGTTCAAGGCATGACCGAACTCAACAGTTGTGGTCCCATTGAGATCAAAGTGAGGGGTAGGTGCTATGTGAAATATGGAAAATGTCTAGAGCTGAGAATGGAAATGGTGGATAGCATGCAGTTCATTTAATTACAAAGATATATGTCAATGTTTTTAGACAGCTACTCCTTCACTATTTGTGACACTTCAAACTTTTCCGAGTATGTGAAGGGTGGAGTTGCAACTGAAGTGAAACAGCCTGAAATCCTCAACTTTGTAAGTGTAACCTGCTATTGATTTATTCCATATTTAAGATGCTGTTGTCATGATGTACAGTTAGTATGCTTTTGAAACCTGGAAGTGTGTGGTGTCAACGTACAGCATTATAGCAAGGCAACTTCCTCAGGTAATGTTTAAATGCTTGCAGAAACCTCTGGATGTGGCTCTGGATGAAGCGCTCAGCGATCCTGAGCTTGTGGAGATGACAGACTATGGCAAGAGACAAAGACACCTGTCTCTGCACCTGGCCTTCCAGGCCCTGCATAAATTCACTCAGAAATACAACCGGACACCCCATCCTAGATCTCAGGTCAGTCATACCATGACACCTTTATCCTGGAAATGTGTTTTGAAGTACACACATTGTATCAAAATTTTCCATATTGAGACAAAGTATTGTAGGTTTAAGAAAGGTAA